CCGACCCGCTCCGCTCCGCCGGCACCGGAGGCCGGTGCGGCGGCCGCGCATGCGCCGTGCGGCGTCCTTCGCCATGTCCTCTACCCGGCGGCCGCGCATGCGCACGGCGGGGGCGGCGCGGGGCGTCCGGCGCAGCCATGGCGGGGGCGCTGAGGAAGGTAAGGGCTTCTTCTCCTCCGTGCCCTGTCCTACCATAGCAGGTCTCTGCGGCAGAGGGTAGGCGGGCCCTTCCCGCCACAGACCGTTAGCGGGGGTGGGCCGGGCGTGCGGGCCCCTTGTGTGGGCAGGAAGGGAGGGGGGGGTGTGTAGGCCGGGTTTCACCTCAGGGGGAGGGCGTCCCGGTAGCCGCGTTGTGATACGGGCTGCTCCCTCTCTTCGCGTTCTCCTTCCCCTCCCTGTGCGCGGGACAGAACACCGCTAATTAGCGGGGCGCGTGCGTGCTGTGGGAGGCAGAGGCTCCCGTCACAGAACGGCCCTTCTCGGGTGTATGTTGAGCCAGAACAGACTCATCATTTTGGGTCACAACAAGCCCAGGCAGCGCTACAGGCTGGGGGCAGAGTGGCTGCAGAGCTGCCTGGCAGAAAAGGACCTGGGGGTGTTGGTTGACTGTTGGCTGAACATGAGCCAGCAGTGTGCCCAGGTGGCCAAGAAAGCCAACAGCATCCTGGCCTGTATCAGGAACAGTGTGGCCAGTAGGGCCCGAGAGGTGATTGTCCCCCTGTACTCGGCACTGGTGAGTCCTCACCTTGAGTACTGTGTACAGTTTTGGGCCCCCTACCATAGAAAAGACATAGAGGTGCTGGAGCGGGTCCGGAGAAGGGCAACAAAGCTGGTGAGGGGTCTGGAGCACAAGTCTTATGAGGAGAGGCTGAGGGAGCTGGGGTTATTCAGCCTGGAGAAGAGGAGGCTGAGGGGAGACCTTATTGCTCTCTACAACTACCTGAAAGGAGGGTGTAGAGAAGCGGGGGTCGGTCTCATCTCCCAAGTCACAGGTGACAGGACGAGAGGAAATGGCCTCAAGTTGCGCCAGGGGAGGTTCAGGCTGGATATTAGAAAAAATTTTTTCACTGAAAGGGTTATCAGACATTGGAATGGGCTGCCCAGGGAGTTGGTTGAGGCACCATCCCTGGAGGTGTTCAAAAGACAGGTTGATGTAGTGCTGGGAGGTATGGTTTAGTGATGGTGATGCTTCTTGTTTGTTGTGCGGGTGTCTGTTTTTGTCAGTTAGGTTGACGGTTGGACAAGATGATCTTTAAGGTCCCTTCCAACCTAGAAGATTCTGTGATCAGGTAGCCAAGGATCTATTCCCACGTGGTATTAAATGTTTATGTTCCCTGTGCAGACCACCGGGCTCGTCGGATTGGCTGTAGCTGAGAACCCTCATGAGGTACGTCTCACATCTTCTGCGTTTGATGGAAATGGTCAGAGCAAAGCTTTTTGTCATGTGTTTGTGTGTGTAGGTACGCTGGGTACCTTAAAGAGGTGCCAACTTAATGAAAGCCTGAAAACATTCCAAAGTGGCAAAGGAAAAAAATAAATTCTTAAAGGATTAATTCATATCATTGGATGTTTTTTTGCATGTGTACTTTATGTTGCATGTGCTAATTTCAAAAAGCTCCTTTGTGCAAGTACTTTTATCAACCAGTTCTTCATTTTTCTATCTCTCTCATCTCCAATGCAAAAGCAAAGAACTCTTGCAATTCAGTTCTTTATACATGTGATTTCTGCTTCACAAGCATACAGATTTTTGCTGCCCTGCTATGGTGTATTTCCAAAAAGTACTGAAATAACTTACACCTATACCAAGGGGATGGGCTACCCTTACATAAGAGAGGCTAACCCTGTGGTGCAAAGCCACATCAAGGCCCTGTGATGGCAAACACTGTTGAGATTGGCATACTTCAGTGGTTCTTGGGAACCACGTTAGGTGGTTCTTGAACCAACTGGGTGCTTTCTTTTTACTTCCTCAGGCTCAGTCTGTTTGCCACATCTTGCTTATTCAGGAGGCATTAGCTTTGAAAGGACTTAAGTAATTCTTTAATTTCTCTGTGCTTTGAAATGTCTAACTGTGCAACAATTTTATTTCAAAAATGCTTTTGCCATCAAAAGTTAGAAATAGTGTCAAAAAGAATAATTGAAAAAAGTTATTACTATTCTATACAAATGATTCTAGCTCGGTCTACACCCTTATCAGACATCTTCTGGGTAAACTTTATACAATTTTTTTCATGACTTAAAGCCAAGACTAAAGAAATCGGCAATGCTTTAATTGAAGTATAGATTCTGTGCTAGTCCTCTTTTAGTTTCTTGTTTTCCATTCTTTGTATTTCTTTGACTGCAGTATTCTGCTTCTGTTTCTTATTGTTCCTGTAGGACATCAGTTCTTCCTCAGTTAGATAGTTACCCAGCCAACACATGGCCTAAAAGCTGCAATTTCTTCACCCCATTGTGTCTTATATCACTGTATTTAAATCAAGCAATAAAAGTTTCAGGTTTAATTTAAATTTGTCTATCACTCAGAGCTTTGCACCAGCAGGAGGAGAAATGCCAAAAAAAATTCAGTTATACTTCGGTAGCTTGTGTGGTTCTTAATATCTTTATCAGGTAATTTTTCAGAAACTGATGGTTTAGACATGAATTTGTCTCTTTTTTTTTTTTTTTTAAAAAAAAAAAAAAAGTATGGTTAGTGTTAGAAACACAGCTGTTTGTTTGTTTGTTTGTTTCCATTTTGCATCAAACATACTTCACATCACAACTTCTTTTTTAATTTGAGGAATCTGACAGTGGTAACTTCCCAGTCCTAATAAATCCCAGTCTTACCCAAGACAGAGTTCTGTTGTTCAGTCTTAGTTATTGTATTAATCCTGCATTTCTGGATTGAATACCATAGCCCTCTACATTTTGTGTATAGATAGTTATCTAGTGTGTTAAGGAGGACAGGGAGTTAAATAATTCTGGTTGCGTATTTTAACCATGTCTTGTGATCGCTTCAGCGCCTGCGAATACTGTACACAAAAATCCTTGGTGTCCTGCAAAACATTCCTAAAGATGCAGCATACAGGAAATACACCGAGCAGATTGTGAATCAGCGACTCAATTTGGTGCAAGCGGTAAGTATAGTCATGTTTCACAAATGTTGCACATGAAAAGACTTTTAGGATGAGAAGAATGATATTCAAAATGACTGGCTGTTTTTCAGGTGTATATGTAACTTTCAGGTATCAATTCAGAAGAAACTAAAGTCTTGAGGTTTATTTTTGTTATTGACTAGTATATTTTGATGGCATAGTAAAAAAAAGTATTGATTTCTTACTGATGTTTTTACTGACTGTGAAAATTAGAAGAAAACATAGGTCTTTGAAGATTCATGAAACAGTTGTAATTTCCATATGTTTGCACAAAAAATGCATGTGTTCTTACCAATGTAATATCTTAGCACAGTCCTTGCTTTTGATGTTTTAAAACACTTTTTAGTACATTAAAGTATACAATGCTGGTATTGTGTACTTAAGGTCATAATTGGAAGGTTGCATATCATTTTATAAAAAGCTAAGATGAAAATTTACTTTAAAGATACACACTAAAACCCTTAGCAGCTATTGCTTCTTTGGATATCATTAAATAGTACTCGGATTTTGTATTTGTCATTGAGAATTTGACATTTGTTTTCCAGTAAGAAAAGTGTATGAGACATTAGATAATGTAAAATGACACAAGCCAGCTAATTTGATGATAGTTTTGAGGAGGACTAGAGTGTGATCTGGTTAAATTATTGGTTTTGTGCTTTATCTGGGCTTTCTACTTCTCAGTAAAACTTAACATGTATTTATATGTATTTGAATACATAGGAGACTGATGTGCAAAAACTACAGGACAAACTGAATAGCGGTCACATAGAAGAAGTCATTGTACAGGTAAAGTGGGGAAATTTAAGATTAGCTACAAAAGGGAGTAGTGGTTTTCGGTGTTCCTTTGGTTGAGCTTCTTTTCAGAAAAATGTCAGTTTTCCGTATCTTTCTTTGCTGCAAAACAATCAAACAGGAAGAGTAAAAAATCTGAAAAAGAATTGTCATGTAGTCATTGGGATGATCATGCTAAAACCTAACACGATATGTGTTTACATTTATAGCATGTATACCTGCATTGCTTCTTACAGAGGCTAAATCAGTGGAAAGGGCAGATGATTGAGTAATGTTGGGAGATAATCCAAATAGAGTGGAAAATATCATGAAGTTGTTGGGAATGACTAGGTAAACAGACTGTCTGGGTATCTGGAGGTGATTCGGTATGTTTTTAAAAAACAAACCCCAAAATGCTCAAAACACATTGTTCCTTTTGATGTTTATAGGTGAAATTTATGGTAGTCCTGGCTGTGATAGGTAGTGACATCACTGAGATAATGAACTGAAATAGAGGTAGTTTAATACTTTGGCAATCGTACAGAATTTAACAATTTGTGTGTGGTGTTTATTAACAGGCTGAAAATGAGCTTTCCCTGGCAAGAAAAATGATACAGTGGAAACCATGGGAACCTCTAGTTGAAGAACCTCCTTCTGACCAGTGGAGATGGCCAATATAATTTTCAAAAGGGTGTATCCTCTTGAAAGTAAAAAAAATATATTAATTATTAATCTATTGCTACTGACTGTTGTCTTTAAATTAAAGATTATAACAACTTCATAAAAATGTTTTGTCCTAATGTCTGATTACATTTAGCAATCTAAACACTGCTTCCACTTTGCATACTTCGCCTAACACACATGGCACAAACCGTGGTATTGGGGTCTTAAAAGGCTTTATATATGAACATGTATACATTATAGATTTCTTCATGGTCTGAATCCATAACATACAAATATTTCTTCATAATATGAAAAAAATAGTGGATCTTTCTTGACACGTGGCTACGTTCTGTCAAACATTTAAATGGAAACAGTGCTTGCCTCTTCTGAAAACTTTTGTTTGCAGATTAAGCTTACAAGCCCCAATTAAAATATCTGCACTAGCTGTAAGGATGCCGTGCGAGCCTGCCTTTACTCACATCAATAAAGTTCTTGTGAGTTTTAAGAATGTAGCTGTATGGAAAAATCTGCAGTTGATAACATTGATAGAGTATCACTGCGCTCTGTTACATTGCATACGTTGTCATAGCTGCTTTTCATAGTCATTAAGCCTATAAGTTTACCTGTGACATCATTATTGTCAATGATTAATGACATCTTCATATAATATTTCATACAATCAAGGTGTTAGGGGAGTAGAATAAAGAGAAAAACTAACAAGTACAGCTAGTGTATTGACTCTAGCAATTATTGTCGCTGCATTCTTTAGCGTTGGGGTTTTTTTCGGCTACTATTACTATAATTACAGGAACTTTCACATTTTGAAAATTGAAAACGGGGAAAATATTTTGCTTTGTTGGTTGGTTGTGAAGGCTTTTTCAGCCTTGGAAAAGGTAGAAGCTGGTCTCTTCTGAGAGAAAACCACTAGATGGCATTCCAGAAGAGGGCTTCACTAAAGTTAACACACAGTTTTCACCTGAGAAATACTAAAGGGTTATAAACTTGCATGAAGGTGGAGAACGTCAGATGAGAAACAAAGATGAATGGTTGTAGGCAGTAAGTATTGAGCTGATGTGAGAGGAAGCAATATAAAAAATAAACAAGAAAACCAAAGTCTAGTTGGTATGAATGATACTGACATGCAGTACTTTTAAGGGGGGTGAAAAACACTTGCCAGAATATGATGGAAATTGGAATTCTTTCTACTCTGTCATAACTGAGACATTGGCTGAACTGGTTTTGCTCAGTTATTTTTTCCACTTCTAAAGCCATATTTGTCATATGACTTGCAATAGCTCTCCCATAAGCTCGTGAGTTGTGTTGCAGGGGAAAGGAGGTCTCTTTTTTGACCCATTGCTGCTGAAATTTGATATTTGGCATTTTAAAGCTGAGCTTCGGCACTCACATCTTCTCCCCTCCCCAAATGCACAAATATGTCTTCTCTACAGACCCTGATACGAGTTCTTTACTACCTTGAGGGGGTTTTGGGTTTAGAGCTCTATTTCCCCATTTATATTCTCCTTCATTTTTCTGGTCTAAAGTGTTTTCTTTCACATGACTGAATATAGGATAATTTTCTAAATCTTTCTCTCCAAAACACTTAATTAGCCTTCACAAATGCTTTAATTTAGGAATCAATCAACTTGAGTCTTAAAAAGGTTCTCCTGAGTCATTAGGAAGGGATTTTCAAAAATTTGAGAGTTTAAAATTCTCAAAGTGTGTTATGATGCATTTTTATTATTTCATCATTGGTTAAATTTGGTTTTGTTATCTTAGCATAAATTAATCTGTGCGAGGTAATATTGCTAAATTAATTAGTGTTATGTTGTAGCATCAAGTTTTAATAGCAGTTATGGAGAACAAAGGGAGGAAAGAAAATGCGTTGCCATTTTGAGATGTAACGATGTATGGCTTTTATTCAGTGTTGTGTAGTTCATGTCATCCTTCTTCCGGGCTAATTTAAAAATACATCTTTGCCAAGAAGAGAAACAATAATTTTTACCTGGCTATTAACTCTGTACCTATGTATCTGATACTTAAATCCCACACTGTAGCAACAAAACAGCACACGTATTTTAAACGAAAGAGCGCATCTAAATTAGGAGTACTACGTTGAAAGTAATTTTATTTTAAGATGAATATGCTACCAAGGCATAATTTGGAGGCTGACTGATGATTTTGCTTGTTTTTTCTCCATTAACTATGTTGGAAATACATGATGACACAAAAGATCACTATCTCCTGTAATAGGGTAAGGTAAATCACTGCCAGCCTTAGAGTTGACAAACTTTAGATCTTTCAAGCACTTTGGGGTAGTCTGATGGAAGTCGTTATGGGAGGGGAAACCACCCTCTCTGCCAGGATGGACCAGAGCCTGTTAAACCAGAAAAACAACTTTCAGATTGCAGAACTCAGGTTTTTGTTGTTACTCCTGACTTGCTGTCTCTGTCACTTCACCTCCTTTGAGCAGGTGGGTTCTGAACAGGGCCCCGTTTTCATCTGACATAATTCCTGATAGTGTTCAAAGGTGGATGAGTGAAAGTTGTTTTGGGGTTTTTTTGAATTTACTTTTTTTATTTATTTATTTACTTCAAACATGCTATTTCATTGGAAAAAATAACGAAACTTACAAAAATCTTACAAACTGAAAGTGAGTTTGTTTAATCAAGTTCACTATATACAAGTGAGAAAGCGACACAAAACGCCATAGTATCTGTGGAGTTACTGTGGGTCCTAGTCTACCCTGAGCTGAAGTTCAATCCAGGTTTTAGGAAAAAAAAAAGTGTTAGCAGCAGTAACGGGGAATTTCTGCTTTCCTTTTGGTAGTGTCAGGGTTTAACCCCAGCTGGCAACTGGAACTAGAAGCAGGTCTGTGTTCAAATGCTGAACGAGGTCTGTGACACCTGGGAACAGCCATCCTGGCAGACTGTCACTCACTATAGATACATTTTTCAACGCCTTCTGAAATACAATTTATTTTTTTTCCCCCTTCAGGATTCTCCCAGGGTTGTGACACATTACTGTGTGTTTCACCTCAAAAATGGTTGTGGGAGGTGAGCGTAGTTGCGGTTTTCCTGTAGCGGGCTGAACCACGGGGGTGGTCTCAGAAATCACACCAGGAAAGTGAGTTTCTTGTGGTTCTAATTCTGGCAAGAGCGGGTTTGTGAGTTGGTCTGTACCTGGCTGTGGGGGACGAGCCGGGACGCGGCAACGGCCGGCTCCCGCGCACAAGCGGCTGCAGGCGGTTCCGTTCACCGCGGTGCGGTGACACGGGAGGTTCTCTCACCCTTCGTCCTTTCACGCTTTTTGACCCCAAAATGCCCGCCCCCCCGTCCGGCAGCGCGGGCCCTCCCTCCCGCAGTGCGCATGCGCGCGGCCCGTCCCGGTTGCTATAGCTACCGCACACGCCGCCGCGGCCTGCAGCGGCCCGGCCGGAGCCGTGAGGGGAAAGTAACGGACGCGGGGCCCCGGAACCGAACCAAATCAAACCTAACCCGGCCCCGGGTCGCGTCAGCAGCCCGCTGGCCCCCGCTGCACCCCGCGTCGGGGGCGGCAGCCCCGGGCGGGCGTCGGGGGACTTGGGGCGGGGGGAGCGGCCTAAGCGGCCCCAGGTGGCGGTGGGTGCCCGCCCGGTGGGCGCTCGGTCGGAAGTCACCCCTTTGGCGACTGCCGGGAGCTTCGTCCCCTCTGGTTTTGGTTGGTTTGGGTTGTTTGTTTGTTTGTTTTTTCATTAATATGGGATTTGGCTCCTTCCAGCCCATATCATTTCAGTCACAGCACAGAAAACCTTGAAGGTGTGCTGTCTGTGAGTACTACTCCTCTGTAAATTCGCTATATCTATATGAAGTACTTATCTATGTAAAGAATATATATATTCTCTCTATATATTCTTTATATCTACATAAGACTTACGCTGACTGGCTGCTCCCAATGTTATGAAGCATTATTACTCTTAAAGACAAACAAGAAGGTGTTAAATGTTTTGCTTTTGGTGGAAGCAAAGACCACACTATTCTAAATAGGCTATTTTTCCTAAGATACAGAAAAAGCTTTTCAGCTCTGTATAAATGGATCATTTTGATTTAAAATTATGCATTTGCAAATAAACACATTTCCTTGCTCTAATTTAAAAAAAAAAATTGTAATATGAATGACTTTATGTGGTGGCAGTATTACATTAGATATCTCTCTTAAAAATGTGTATTTCAGCTTTCAAATAGACTGACTCTCTTTCCTGCTCAAAAATTTACGATTATTCGGTGTTGCAGTGTTTCAATAAAATCATCTCAGGGCAAACTTGAAAGAGTTATTTACTTGCTTATTTTGCAGGAATTAATTTTTATTTTATTTTTAGGAAGCATGGTTGAGGATAATGAAACTGTTAGGAGGACTAGAGCTAAATTTGATGAAACTATCCAGTCTGAGAAGTTAGATCTTGATCAGGAAGGTTTTCCTGGGAAAGCAGTTCAACAGGATTACCGCATGCCTGATCTCATAACTGTCAGAGTACAAACAGGTAAATGCTATTTTTACATGTATATCAATATTTATTAATTGTGCTCTAATCTCAGTCTGTTACTAAAAGAAACAATATCTCTATCAACTTCCATTTTGACAGACTCTGATTCATTCCAAGATGTAATTGTAAAAATTGAAAGACCTACCTATCAGAAACCATTTCTGGGTGGATTTAAGAACACGGTAACAGGAGTAGAATTTCATAATGCAGGATCACAAACGATACCCAAAAAACGACCTGAGAAAGGAATTCAGTTATTTTGTAGGGAAACACAGGTAATGGATTTGTAGTGCCTTTCTAGAGCATTGTTTTTGCCAAATAGAATGTTGTTACAATTATTTCCAATAGGAATGAGGAAGTAGATGAGAAATAAGTGTGCACTTGGAAGTATTTAGTGAATCAATGTCATTAGTCTTGTGATTTTTGTTACAAATAGCTAATTTTGCCACTTATTGTAATGAGGGGAAAAAAAAAATCTGTATGTTTTTTTGTAATCTGACATGCATTTTTTCCCCAGACGGTTTTTGAAAAAAATAAACCACAACAAACAAGAAATACAACATCAACACAGATGACTAAAATTGGCATGTATGTGTCAAATGTGACTGACAAACTAGTAATTCCTGGAAAGTATCTTACAGCAGAAGAATACCATAAACGTAGACTGGAAGCCGTAAGTTCTTATCTGTTTGAAACTATCTGTAAAGCAACGTATTAAGAAGGTTAGCTGAATATCTAATAAGTGTTCAGAGCCTTCAAAGACTGGAGTTAGAAGTGAACTGCAAAATATCTGCTCAATCTTCACATTTTGTAATCTTTCAGTTCTGGGGGAACTAACTGTGTGTTTACTCTGTTTTTAGCCATACTTGAGACCTTGCGATTTCTGAAATATTAAGAATTCTGAATTTCCTGTTTTCTATCTTGCATATCGAACATTAGGGATTAAAACAGGCTTGTCCCTCTGGCATTCTCACTGCCTCTTTGGAAGGACCTAAGCTACATGCTTCATGATTGACCTCAAACAGCTGAAGTATTGGGTTAGGATTTAGGAGACCTGCATTTAACTTTTGGGTTTTGTGTTTTCTGGGATTGTTTCTTTGTTTTAACAGACTTGATAGTTTACCTTTGGCAAACTGACCTGTTTTGGATTGTGTTCAAGCTGCTTGCTTTGGCATTAAGGTTATTCAAACATGTGAGATGGGTCTGTGGGGTTTTCTGGTGCTCTGGGTGGCCTCATGCAGGCAATTCCAGTGACAGATTCTGTAGGTTTATTGTGCAGAGCATGCCATGTAGGCATTCCAAATTGCTTTTTGAATACAACATATTCAATGACCGCACATCTAACTTAAGTGTGCCCAACAACATGTGAGGTGGGGCTCTGCTTTGTAAATGCTGTAGTTATTAATTTGTTTCCCTAAAATAGTCTGATTGTAACTAAATGGAGAAACAGTTGATTCCCCAAATGCCTAAGTAGGATAATTGCATTGACATTGTTGGCAAGATGCTTTGAAATCTTCTGGATAGAAGTCTTCTGTAAGAACTTCTTATTTGGTCAGCATCAGCTGATGGCAATAAGCATCTTGTAGAAGCAGAAGCCAAATAGGTAACTTTCCTCAGGACTAGCAATATGTTTTACTGGGATCATTAGTGCCACTTACTGAAATCAGTAATGTATCTATAGGCAATCTATAATGCACAGTAGAGACATCAACTTGGTGTTCAAGTTGAAGGACTTGCACAGTGCAGTGTAGTTCCATATTGAAATACCAGCTGAAGATGTATTCAAAAGTAATGTCAGGTGAAAATATCTCTAGAGACAGTATAACCGTATTAGTGTAGTTTTGTGCTTCACAGCCTTCACTGCTGAACAGTGCTTATTAGCTCATGACCTGGCTAAATTGCTGATGGTGGAAGTGTTAACTCAGCTGGGAGCAGCTCAGGCTTGTGTGTTCTACAGACATTTTCCTAGTCTTTAATGGTCACTGCTTTGGAAGGTGAACTTTTTTAAGTTCTGTCATAACAGCATTGGCAACTTCACTTTCATCATTTGTTTACGAGTGAAGTGCAGTATCTTTTGTGTGTATGTGTGTTGATTTTTGCTTTAAGAAGTTTAAAAGAAATTTTGCAAGTATGTGTCTATATTCCCAATCTCAACATTATATAAAAGGATAGTAAAATGATGACCTCTCCCCACAAAGCTGAAAAGAATAAAAACAATACATGGCAAAAGGTGTTTCTTAAGGAGAGATTTGAAAAAGAAAAATAGATTTTGTAATTGCAGTTTATGCTTGAGCTTGATCATTGAAACCTCATTCCTCCACTTTACTCACTGATTAAAACACCTGTAGTTACTTAAATAAGTCAGCATACAAGTGTTTTGACTAATAGTACATGGCTGTTTATGTCATGTACAATGTCAAACATTCAAATTAGTTTGAGTACAAGACGAATCTTAGAAAATGTAGTTAAGTAGCTAGGAAAAAATGATGCTGTATTGTTTTAAGTTCATGATTCTTTGGTATTGTATCACATATAGGTAATAGTATTACAGAAATATTTCCGTCGTTGGCTTGCTATAAATGTAGTACAAAATCTGAGAAAAGAGAAGAGGTTAAGGCTGGCATGGGAGGCACAAGAAGAGCTACGAAGAAAGAAAGAGAAAGAAGAAAAACTGAGAAGGGAGCATGAACGAAGACTGAACCCTAAAACAAAAGATGACTTTGAGCTTTTGTACCATGCTCTGGAATGTAAGTATTTTTTTTTTCCTTAAAGGGATACTCTTAAACCAGCAAAAGAGTACATTTGAAACCAACTCTTCTGGTTTTGACAAGTTTCTATATATACTTCTTTGATATTTTTTTTTGACTTACAGTGGAATTTCTTTCATTTTTAATAAATTATTTGGCTTTCATGTATTTCTAGAAGCAGAAAGGCCTTGACTCTGTGTAAGCACTGTTAGCAGTAACTAAAATATTCCTATGTTTTCAACACCATTTTCATCACAAATCCAAAACATAGTACCAGACAAGTTACTATGAAGAGAATTAACTCTATCTCAGCTAAAACCAGCACACCTTTTTAGGAAATAATCAGCTTGTAGAGTAATGCTATTTTGCAGGGGTTTTGTGGTTTGTTTGGGTTTTTTTCATTCATAATGTTAAGGTCAGCTAGAGAACAGGAACTTGGGGGTTTTTTTTGTATCAGAGTTACTTTAATCTTTTTACTCTGCATTTAGGATGCTGAAAATAATACCATGAAGAAAATACTATTAGGATCAGTCATTCATCATTTAATACAGATATTTTTTATAATGGATTAAATTTTTGCCCAGAATTTCACAATATAAGGTTATTCCTTTTGTACTAGTCATCTTCTCCTTCTGCTTTTTCACCTTTCAAATTTATTCGATGTTTCACAAAACTGTGTTGTCAAAATTTTAAAAATCTTTTAGGCAAGCACCTCTGTACTTTCCTGGAAAAATAAGGTGAATATTGCAGATAATTGACAAAACTTACAGGAGAATAATGTTGCAGATGTAACAAAAAACCTGGACTATGTTCTTTTGGAAAAGCAAAAACAATAGAAAGCAGTGGACTTTTACCAGCATATAATGAAACTGCAAGAGTTCTTTTTAAAATGTCTCCTTTTAAGCCAGAAACTCACACTGTGACTTGTAACAACTCATGTTATCTAAGGCTCTTTAGAGCTTGCTTATGGTATAACTCTGGCAGTTTGGACATTACTGTCCCTTTAGCAGAACTGGCCCAATAGATTACCTGCTTCATTACAAAGCCACCTAATTTACCTTAAACCATCCCAGATATTTCTTCCATGGTACACTGAGCATGAATTTGGTGACGTGTGTTATTCATAGAGCTCAGGATCATAATTCAGGAATTCCCAAGTTACATGCTAATCTTTTAATACTGTCATACATTGTGTGGCATTGAACAAATTGCTTTGTTTGAATGTATAAATGATTTATAAATGTTACTGTGCGTGATAAATACAAAAATTATTACTGGTCTTCAGAATTTGGGGAATTCTGTCTTCATGAGATCTGTGGTTTGTTAAGGGTTGTTTCCCCTGTCCTTCTTTTTCTTCATAGATAGCATTTCACTTCATAAGAATCAAGCCCTTTTAAAGGTGTGTCAGATTAGGTAATCAAAAGCCAAGGTATCAAATAATAATTTTTTTCCTCTCCACTTATGGCAAGTGCTACTACTTGGTGTCTGATTTCCTGCAATATTCTCTTTAAAAAATCTGTTTCCTAGCTAATGTGCTATCAAATATATGATCCACTTTTTATTAAAGCCTGATGAGTCTTATTTGCAATGGAAACAACAAAGCTGAGTTAAAGTTGCGAATGAGTGCCGAGATTCCTAGTATTTATACATTTAAAATGTATGGTTATATAAGTGTCTCTTTTGTTAAATTTGATGTCATTGGATTCATACATAATAAAATTCCCAGTTTTGCATGTTCAGGAATTTAATATCTAGGCAACCTGAAAAAGCATATGCCACTTCAAAACTGGAACAGAACAAACCCCAGTATTTGAAATATCTTTTTAATATTTTCTTAAAAATAATAGTCTGGTATAAATCTTTTTGGGTTGTTTTTGTTTACCAGTGTTGACTTGTTGCTTCTCTACATGGAGACTTGCGGTCATGCTCTTTATTTTAACAGAGCTTAGTGGTTCTAGGAAGTTGTTGTTTTTTTCTACCTGCATCTGAGACTACTTTTACATTCTTATAGTGTCAACAGTCTACACAAGCTAAATCATTGTGACAGTAATAGAATGAGACTATTGTCCTCTGGAGATCTGTGAAGGTTATTTCTGCTGATCACAACAGGGGGATACTATTACAGGGTCAGCCAGTACAAGCAATTCCTCTTGGTACAAAGACTTGCCTGTTGACTGTATGGTGCAAATGAGATGTATCTATATATTCAGTGTGTCCACGTATAGAGACATTGATTATTTATTTGAAAAGCATGAACTACTTTGTTTTATAAAAACTGGAATAAAAATTATAATGAGAAAATCTCTGTCTGTAAAGCAGATAATCTGAGAGGAATGTTTTTAACTTGATTGCATGTATATGGTAAATCAGAAGGTAAGTATTGATGTAAATTGACAGCTTCTTCATTTCTGTAAGTACAAAATTGCTTACTGTATTTATTAGCTCTGCCTTTGAAGTTGCTGCCCCCTTCAGGCATATACAGCCTCATGTAAATTAATTCTGTACTGTGCTTTTGTTTGCTGAAATGGCTTTATTTAAAAATATATCTTTGGGTACTCAGAACTTGTCAGACAGCTGTCATATTAATATCAAAGCTTGGAGAGCCTTAAGGACATGAATTGAAATATTTTGAAATGGAAAACATAAGGTATTGTAGATAAGGAAGCCACAGGCAGAAAATAAACCTTCCTCCTTTCCCTCCTCCTGCCTCTAATCTTACCTGATACAGGATGTTATAGGCTTTTTCAGTAAGTGTGCACAACATGTTGGATTGTTTTCTTTTACGCTGGGTTTTGCTTTTGCATAACTGTTCTGGAACAATAACACACCTCTGAGATATTATTCAGGAATGTTGAAGTTTTGGATCTTATACAATTCCTCACAAAAAATACAGAGACATTTGAAATGAAACAGTCTCTTCAGAGAAGCCAGGAGCTGTTACAATGTATGCAAAGGAAAATACTATTCACAGAATTTGATTTTACAAACAGATTTCTGTTAACAGTATGTAGTCTGTGTATCAGTTAAAGTCAAGAAATGGGTACTACAAAACCAAAACTGTGATAGACACCTATGTATACGTCTGTATGTTTCTGTCATTAAGTATTCTAAGTTATAAGTGCGACAGGTACCTGTGGTTTGGTGATCTGACCATAAGAGTCAGAAGGCCAGATTCTCACACAGAACGTACTGATTCCCATGTTGCTGTCACTACCACCCTGTGGTTTGCATGGCAATTCCTTCCATCTGAAGGGTTCTGTTACAGAAGAGGAAAAGGAGAGTAAAGCAATGACTGTCTAATTATTAATGCACATCCGTCTGCCTTAGATGGCAAAAGGTGATACCACTGAAATATTCAGTGTAAGACCTGGAGTGCTAAATGTGACTGTCAGTCAAGTTTTATCTCAGTTTTGGAGGACTTCAAGCTTCTTTGGATTTTACTCATTTATGCAGAAAGAAGCAGTAATATTCTCAACAGTGAGTACTGGTGGTACCACAGTAAGATGCTGTCAATCTGTTGAGATTGGTACCTTTTCGTGTGACTTTGAGCAATTGTTTAAAAAGTTCCTAGTGCTTGTGCCTTTTGGAGCTATTTGAGACTTCAACAGTTAGTTTAGTTAGTCTAGATGCAAAATTTTGAAGAAATCATTTCATCACACGTTTTCACAGGAGCTAAATTCTTTTTCTCACATACAGCTAATTTTTCTCCTAACCAGTCTTTGAGTTTGGAGCATGAATTGGCAGTTTGGAATTGATATGTGCACACATACTCTCACAGAACATCTGTATACTTTACATTGATTTTTGTCCATTTTGCCCTTATTGAAAATATGAATAACAATGAATTCCCTAACATAGAAACTGGCTTTTAAGAAATACTAAAAATTAATTATTTTATTTCTTAAATATGAAAGTAGAAAGTTCACTGGAGAAGGTCTTGTAAAAAATACCCCAAACATTTGTATCCATAGTATGGAGGCAGGAGGAGACTGAACGGATTAACAGCACTTTTACTGGAGCTGAAAGAAAGGCAGCGTTTTGTGGCCTTCTGGAAGAAGAGGTCCAGCTGATTGCTTCCATTGGGAAACACAAACTCAATGCAGACGAGGAGAATCGACAAAAAGCAATACTGCGCTTTCTGGATAAGGTCAGTGATGGAACTTTAGGCTGAACATAAAGAATACCAAAGTACAGGAACAGAAAAGACAACTGCAAATCTGTCTGCCAAAAGTAACTTTTGTAGCTTTAACACTTAATCATGTGAATGCTAATGTTGTAAATATCCAAATTATCTAGTTGTTCATGTCAGTACAATTCAGTAAATTTCTTTTTCCAAGCTGAGAATTTCTTATCTCTGTGACTGATTGAAGGACAAACAGTGCATCATTAAGATTGTGACCTGAGATTTACCATAAACACAGGTAGTTGTGTATATATAATATAAAAAATAGCACTGAGTGGATGAATTTTGTATTATGCAACTATTCTGCATGAAGAACGTGATTCTGATGGCACTGTTCACAGGTTTAAAGGCTCAAATTCTAACAATTCAGAATGCTTAATTTGAGGTTATAAAACATGAGGATATTGCATACCATTCTGTATTTTGTATTGTGTGCATTACAGTGATGTAGGAAAATATGCTCTTTCCTAGTCTGTTTTTGAAACTTTAAAAATCTGCCCATTAGCTACTCTTTCAAAGATACTCAGTTTCACTAATCAAAACTAATAACTAAGTGGTCATCCCTCTGGTATATTCTGTTTATTGTTCTCTGTAGTGAAAAGTTTGCTATTGCATTTAAACTTAAATGCAAATGTTTAAGCAAGAATTTGAAAAATAAACTTTTTTCTGCAGAAAGGATTGATTAACTTTTTTTTCTTCACTCAGAAATGCTATCCTTCATGATCTAGATTTGTCATTTGTTTCTCCCTGGAGTACAAGTGTTTGATTGTCATGTCTGTCTTTAAAGAAAACATTTATTCTGTTTTCATGCACAGGGTAGAAACCCAGAAGAGCTTTGACTGAATCTTACATCACATTGAGCTCAGTTATTAATTCACTAGTTTCAGTTGTGTTAGAACTTTAACTTGAGATTTTATTCTTGTATAATCTTGGGGATGAAATGCAATGTTAAGTGTTCTTCAGGCTTTCATCTATAAAACAAAGATGAGAACTTGTTCATACACAAAGATGATTTAGAATGGCATTAGATTTAATGGCACCTTAATGTAAAATTTTAAAAAGGGCCTTTTTAGATAGATATCTCAGCAATCCATTCCCCCAGGAAAAAAGGAATAGTTTATTTTCTGGCTGTTTTCATAGTAGGGGACATAATATGGAAAGAAATACTGGAACAGAAATAGGTTTTTTGCGATCTATTTTTTTTTTTAATTTTGACTATTTAGTACTCAAAAGTAAAAATGGCAGTTTTGTCGACAAGAGACTTTTTTCATTCTTTTTATTACTGATGTATGGGAACTGGACTTTAAAAAATTATTTGATAAATTCTATTACCTTTCTTCACTATGAACAAATTACTTATCTGAAACGTTGGTGGAACTGTTACCAAGTTTATTGCTGTGGTACGATTGTATTCTCTGTTACTGCTTTCAAGAATGCAAAAAACCAGAAAACTAAATACTTAGTAATGATATCAAAACCTTGAATCATTTCTGTGTTAAACATTTGCTTCTACTATCTACAATCTATTCTGTTATTTTCTCAGAAAAAGAAACCTGGAACAGTCAAAGTAAATGTCTTTCTTTCTTAACCGAGTCTCTATCTTTATTTTTCCCTTAAGGGCTGCTTTTCAGTGTCCTACCCTATATAGATTACTTCCAGCATATATTTTCACAAGTTATATGGTTTTCTTACATCTGACAGAAGCAAAGCATTCTTCACTACCAGAATTCTTGGTGACAATTGATGTTTGGAGTTTCAGGAGACACATGAGAGAGATTCCAAACTGTGGACATGTTTCTAAAGCACTTACTACTAATTTATTTATTCACACTTTAAACTTACAAATTATGTTTTTCGTTAAAGAGACTGGTTCTTTTTGATTTGAAAAATCTAGTGAGCTTCTGAACTACTACAACTTATTCTTTTCATGTTGTTTTATTGTGTCAGCGATAGGGTTTGTAGTGTTGTTCTAAACTGTTGACATAGATAGCAGCCTAACTCTCAGAGGTAAAGGAAGTAAAAATTTCTGCATTTCTTAAAAAATAAAATAAATTAAAAAGAATTTTTGAAATCTCAAAATTAAATGGATGGTTTCTTATGTCTGCAACACTACAATTCAAACACTTTAGACTGTAGTATGACATTTGTTGTTGGAGTGCTATAGATTACTCAGTTACTTCTTGAACTTTGAGCTGGTGATGTTAATCTGGACACTGGCCAATTAAAGCTGAAATAACACCTTTCACATCTGAAGACTGCAAGCATTTCACTTTGCTGCAATAGCCAAAATTATATGAAACTGGCTTCTCCATGGAAACCTTCACTCCCTTCTTCACTACTTTAAGCATGTACTTCCTCGTGTGTGTGCATTTACAATGGTTGTTACTGGTTGTGTGCGGACTACATTCTAGGGGGTTCTTTTTAATGCTGAGCTCATTCTTCTTCAACATTTGTATTTTGAAGAGGAAGTACTTGATTAAGCTTTTATACAGCAGTCATATTTTCCTAAAGGAATTTGTGTAATTATTAACTGTCACTGAGTTCATACCTTTCATGCTATGTGCTGTTTCTGCACCCATCCTATGGATTTTTATTTTTTTTTTCTACTTTTCTTACATTTTTCTCTCTGTGTCTGTGCTGGTGTGTTTCTCTCCTCAGGTGCTTTTTTTTCTGCTTTCATGCATTGGCAGCAGAGTGCAGTTATAGTAGTCCTGCTCTCTGAAGTAATACAGATAACAGGATTATTGGAAATTCCACAGCACTGCCAGCAGACTAAAAGGCAAGAAAAAGCTGGCAAAAAAATCTCAAAGTTTTAGTTTTCTCACATCAATCTTGAATACATGAAAGTAGTCCTGAAACCAGAGAGCTTGTGATTCTTTCTGAAATGCTGGAAATCTTCATATTGATAAGACCTCTGCATTATTTTTTTCAGTAAAAGGCTGCATGATTTCTTTTAAATTATTTTATTTTATATAATACCCAGTTATGGTGAGGTAGTAAGAAAAATTGCAGAAGTTACAGATATGATATCTTGCTTTGAATAATGTAGATGTTATCATAATATAGTTGATCTGTGTTAAGGGTCATTTGCAGAGTGGAATGCCAAGATTGCTAGCTCATATATGGGTGGTTGCAAATTTATTGGAAGAACCTAGTTTTAATAACCATTTCCTAAGTTATAAAAATTTAATAACCTGCCCATTGAGTCTCCCTAGCATAAGCAAATGACCTTTCTGTCTTATTATGAGTGATTTCATTGAAGAGGATCAAATGTAAGTACTGAATTAACTACTCTGTGGAAAATAGTGATTTTTGCCAGTCTGCCACACAAAGGAGTTACAGCATGATACAGCTTCTAAGTTGGTGGAAGGTTTTTTATTGTTTGCCTTACTTTTTGTGTTTTGTTTTTGTTTGTTTTAATATTTCTGGTGCTGTACAAAATAGTGAAACAAAGTCATGAAATTACAGTAGAATACCCCCTTTTTATGATATAGAGAAAATTGTCTCTTTCAAGTTTTGCAGAAGTTCAAATATTTCACTAGAACTAAGTTTTATTTTTTACTAATATCTGGTTTTTCTATTGCATTTCTTAATCAGTTTTGGCTCTGAATTGTGACTTCTGATTAACAGTACCTCCTTTAATTGGAGTTCCGCTCCCACTGATAATGTAATTAAATGTCAGTTCTTCAGTGTTAAATCTTTTTCTCAATTATTTTGTCTTTTTTTGCTTACCTAACTTTATAACTTATCTATTTAAGAGTGAGGAAAGCTCTGTTTTGATTGTGGTGGTGACTAATCATATCTGTTCTAACTATCTAATATGCTTGGTATTTTTATGACTTATCACCATAGCAAGCCTGTATATTTGGTCAAAATAATGATTACGTCAATTCTGGGGTCATAACCAGAAAAGCAGTAGGTATATGAATGCTGCATGAACTGTTACTGTAGTTAACTTGCACTGAGGCTGCAAAGCAAAGTTCACAAGTATTTGTGAATGCTCAAGTTCCAAATACAGTGGAAGAAAATAATTAATACACAGAATGAGGTTCCAAATAGCTGTCCCAATTAAGGAAAGGGAGTGGAGTTCAATAATGAACTCCAGAGACAGTTTTGAATACTATATTTCTATTGGATTTAGGAACCTACCTCCCTATCAAACTGTGCAGTTTGCAACCAAACTTCTTGAGGACTTCTTGAAAGAGGAGAATGGCTGGACTTTTTAAACTGAGTGGGTCAGCTGACACCTTGTAATTTCTCACTGTCTATAGAAGCTAAAGATGTGCAAAGAGACAGTTGAAGTATTAGGTATGTGGTTAAGTTAGCAAACAAGAAGCTAGGTGAAATATCCAGTAAGCTGTAAACTCATAGTCTGCCTTAGTCGGGTCTAACAACGTCTGTGCCTTCTATCCATCTATAGGTAGCATAAATAGAACAGTTCCCTGGAGATGTTTTGTACTGCAGTGGATTCTGAAGCCTTAAATTTGCAATCTTTACATAGTCAACAGTTCCATTGATTTTTGCTGATAGTTTAGATGGATTTATGACTGCAAGATGAAATGCAGAGCAAATGTATTCTAACACTACAGTCAGTAAATTCATTTTAAAGAAGTAGAGCATATCCCTTTAGGAGAATATTATTTACTTTTAATATGCTGTAAGTCAAAATTTTCATGACCTGCAACTTTAAACAAAGCGTGCGATTGAATAGTTGCTCTGGTGGAAAAGGTACTGTATAAATACTGATAGTAGAATTAGCCTTTTGTATTAGTCAAGCATTAATGTTAAGTACCTATTTCACCTCTGGTGAAGCTTGATGTAACATAATGCACTTGTTCAGCTGGTGATCGGATTATAATAGCTCAGTTATACAAATTGCTTCTGCAGTGTGCACAACCTAAGAGATGGAGAGCGTATGATGGAAAAGTCACTGAAATGGATACACAGTACACACTCCGCGCCAGAGAGCTATTTGAAATCTACTGCAGCATTAGCATGAATGACATCCCGAAAGAAGAGAGGATAGATGTGCTGTTAACACTCAGACGTACAGTAAAGGTATGCTTTATTTTTCTATTTATGCTTAGTTTGAAGTTCTACTTCCCAAAAATACTGTCGCTTATTTGTGTCGATGCATAAGCAATACTTCTGGCAGACAGGTGCCAGGATGATCAGCTTGCAGCAAGAGAAAGCCTAGTGTACCACCTGCCATGAGGGTGTAATTTCTGTTTTAGATACACTCAAAATTCATATTTCACATTGATGTGCACATTTTTCTTCAAGTTGTGTTAGAATTTTAACCTCATGATTTTAGACTTTTTTTGTATATTAATACATAACACAATTTTACTATAAAGTTTGACTTATAAGAATTTGATTAAAACCATGGCAGAGTTATCAGTGGATATTACTTTTTTTTTTTCCCTGAGTTCTTTGAAATGTCTGTTTAGAACCTTATGTCTCTGTTGGGTTACCGGTTTTATGGGTGGCAAATACTGGTTTTGTTTTTTTTTCCTTTGCCCCACACACCCCACCCCCACTGCTGCTGCCAGTGTTCCTGGTGAATTAGAAGCATTCTTCTATGGTTGCATTTCTTTTAATCTTTCAGATTTGTTTTACTTATTTATTCATGTACAAGAATGATAATATGAGCTTCAAGGTACTTTCAGGATGATTGTCATCAAAATAGAATAGAATGCTGCTTCCTGGTCTTATTAAAACAAAATAACATCTTGCTGCTTGCTTTGGTAGTACCAGAATTTGATCTAAAGCCAATACAGTATTGGGAGCACTGCTGGTTTATGAACTCCTGCCCATTTTAATACAAGTCAATATTGCTGTAGTGAACAAATTCTAGAATTTCTGTAAATTTGCACTTTATTTTAGGTGAGAGGACATTGAACTCATCTACCTCTTATGTCTCTCTGGAAAATCTCCTGCTAAGCATTTGAAATATTGATGTGACTAATTTTCAAGCATACTCATAAAATCCCCCATGCCTTCTGTGTGGTGGTGTTTTTTGTTTGGGTTTTTTGTTTTGATTTTTGGGAGTTTTTTGTGGGTTTGTGGGGGTTTTTTTAGCCATCTACTGTGTGTATACATTACACCTCTTATCACATAGCCAAAGGAAGCTTCTTAAGGAGGTGTTTCTCGGGGCTTTTGGAGACTGAAAATTTTGCATATGTTGTGTGCCTCTGCTTAGCATTTTTTTAATGCCTCCAGGTTTACAGTTGCTTACGGCTTTGGTATATGGTATATTGGTATATGGTATATGATATTTGGTATATCCCTCAAAGCAGAATCTGTAAGCATTCTCAGTTTTGTAGTTCTTTACATCAGTTTTCTTGGAGGTTATTTTCCTAGGACACCAAGGGATTCTTCTATGAACATGTTCTTATGTGAACATACAGAGGTAAGAATGATGATTGGCACAGAATCCATAGTTTGCTTTTGTATTACATCAGAATTATTTTGTTTGTTTTCTTCCTTATTCTTGTGGAGTTTGTTTTCCTTTGCATTTTCCTGTTCTTTCAGGAACATGAATGTAAATTGACACAAGAAATAGTGGAATTAATTGACAGAGAAGTTGATCTTATGTCAAGAGAGGTGAAAGAATGCAACTTAGAAGGACTGAGGAAAAGAATTTGCACATTATTTCTTCAATACATTAAAACTCCGAAGTTTAACCCTCAAGTTGCTAGAATACTTAAGGTATTGTTCCTATTTTGCAGTCTAACATAGTGGCCATGGAACTAAGGATGGTGGGGAAAGGGGAATGGAAAATAATGAAAGATTTTTTGTTTTACATTTTTTGCTTTAGAATTGCTGGAAGAGTTCCTCAAGAAGTAAAATGTAGCAAGTACACAAGCTTCACACAAATAAACTTACATAATCATATAGGAAGTGTGGGGCATAGACATGGGTATAAGAACCTGCCAAGTGGCTGGCAGCACTGAGCGAGCCCAGGAACTCTATGTATGAAATAAAAAATGTGATAATTAGAAATGGTAGATCTTATGGGATGGTAACAGTACAATGTAATAGCAAATGGGGAACCAACAGAGAGAGCAATTGCCTTTTTTCCACTGGACAAGGGGCAGCATCCCATGCATCCAGAAATGAAGAATATTGCCATTGTCAAAGTGATGTCTAAAGACTTTGCACCTAAGCAAGAGATGTTATGAGCCTCTGTTGTACAACCAGTTGCTACTTCATGGGAAGAAGGATATAGCTAGGAAGTGAAGAAAGTGGTAGACACCTCTCAAGTTGTGTGACTTTCTTTTCCAACTACAGATTACAATTAAAAATATGATTTAATATCATATATTGTTGCTTTAAGCAGAAACATGTATTCTGCATCTGTCAGAAGAGGATTCCTCTTACAGTGGTTGATGGTACCTCAGGAGTAGAGAATCTGTCAGTAAATGTCAGTCAGATTTAGAACTAATAGTAATTTTACAGTAGCTTTATGAACAGGGTTACCTAGATGTGGCATAGCAGAGACTAGAAAAGGGAGGTCTTTGTCTTCTGTAGCTTTTGGTTAACTGTACCTGGAGTTGAAGGCTGAATTACACCTGTATTTGTATTTGAATCTTGTAACCTTCTGTAGACCACAAAAAAAATGTCAGTTCATCAACAGACAGTCAAATTGACCAAATCCTCAGGGTACCTTAAACAGAAGGGAGATGACCACAGTATGTAGCTGGATTATCAGAGTACTCAAACTACACAATTACAGACTTGGGCCATCTGCACAGACTACATTTTATTCTTTCCAGAACCCATGAAGCAATATGAGGATAAGGAGGTCATTAGCAAGTTTAGTTTATTATCTTCCCCTATATTGTTTTTGGACATGAGGCTCTGGTGATTTTATATTCTTATGCCAAAATATTAATATGGCCATGATCTCAAGGTTTTGTCTTTGACATAAAGGGAAGATTCTATATCAAAAATTAGAAGTGGAAGAATTAGTTTCTGTTTTCTGTTTTTTCTGTGTTGTCATCTTTCCAAAACCTCTGACAATCTGCATACATAAAAGTGCCAGCAAGAGCACTGGAGCATAATGTCTAGGATCTTCATATACCTTAAAAATCTATTGATGGATTTATATAACCAATTTAACTAGTAGAGTAAGAAAATACAACGGCTTTTTGTCTTCCATTTTGCTAGAAAAACCAAAACTTTTTTTTTTTTTTAAATGAATATTACTAGCTTTTACGTATTAGAATACCTGCATTAGGATATGTAAAACATATTTTAACAGAGTGAGGTTGACACACAAGTAATACAAAGACACTTTGTGGTAAATTAACTTTTTTTTTTTTAATCTTTTAGGTTCCACCAGATCCCTTAAAGCTTTATAAAAATGTTAACTTCTGTCATGGCTGCGAAAGTTACTTACCCTCTAATGAGTTTCCTGTTCCTGCTAATTCCTGCACCATTGGCAGATGTCGCTTGTGTTGCAAGCTTGATAATGAGGCTCGGCGACGAGAAGCGTTTTTGAAGTACAAACTTATACTAGAAAATCTCAGAAAGTCTGAAGTTGATTATCAGGATGGTGCTAAAATTGTTTTCTTAGTTCAGGTACTGTCTAAAAGAGCTTTGCTAATTATGGAAGCCAATGGCTTTGACTATAATTTTTGCTTTGTTTTGTGTATGTTGGACAGGTTGCGAAATAGTTAAAAAAGTACAAAACCTTCTTCCTGTGATATGGGAAGTTCCATACCATAAAGAAGCAGCACTTAAGCTCTTGAAGTATAGCTGTACTTTCAAAAATGGTTACAAGCTATACATTAACAGAAGGTAGAAGTCTAGCTGAGAGGTCAAAGAATCAGATGATTCAAATTCTTCTGGTTCTCCTATGACCATCCTGTTGCTTAAAGATATTAACATCATCTGTAAAGCGATGATAATGGTTTTGTGACTATAATATTGTTCACGGCATAATGCTAGTGAAACATTTGAGCCCCTGTTATTTGCACTGTTTTAGTAATACAACTAAGCTGTCTTGTGTTCTCAGAAGGAAAAGAAACAAAGGACCTGAGGTTTTCATACTCTTGTTCTGTCAGTAGAATATCTGTATAGTTGGAAGATTTACTGTTTTGCATTTCTTAGGAGAGAGATTCACTAAATATTTTAATTTTCTAAATCTTTTGCCATCATCTGTAATCATCCGTAATCTTCTGCAATATTATTAAGTAGCTAATGTTTCTTAATAATCATTACTGGAACAGTTCAAAGAACTTCTTGCCTCTGTCTTCATAAAATTCTCTCTTTTAGCTATTACTACTTCGTCAGCAAAAGAATTTGACATTCAATATCCACTGGGAAAGTTTTAAATCTGAGATAATTGCAAAGTGTTATTTATTGAAAATATTGAACAGCTGAGATTTATTTGAACTTTCTGAGATTTAGTAATAAAAATCTCTACAGCATCAACATTCATAGAATAGGGTTTTTTAACTGTATTTTCAATATGTCTGAAAAAATATCCAAGCAAACAAAAGGCAGTCATCAATGTCCCACTGCTACCGGAACAAGCCATGCCGTGGTTTAGCACTCTGCCAACGGCAGCTGCCAAAAGCAAGGTTGGGATTCTTTAATTTTCACGCCTGTGTTAAGAAGTATTATCAAAGAACCTGGGTTTTGTTGATGTTGTTCATTCCTATTGGTTTTCACTTAAACTGAAAAGATTTTGTCTCTGTCTAACTTAGTTTATCTTAATATGAAGACATCCTCTAAAATCTTTTTTTGAACCTGTCTCACATCACATCACTTGTGATGGCTGGTGGCTGTTGACACACTGCATTATGACTGCTCCTTAACTGCTGAAACTGAAAGCCCTCACTTGCAAGTTCCCTTTGTGGTTTTACCACTGCAACATGACTGCTTCTTAACTGCTGTTCCCTAAAGCCCTCACTTGCAGTTCTGTTTGTTGTTTTACCACTGCAACATCTCCAGATACTGTGTCATTTCATCCAAATAAACTTATTTTCTTTACAGTTGTAAAACATCTAAACAACAGAAAAATCATAAATTGCCTTGGGTTTTTTCCTAACATTCCCTTAAATTATTATTTTTTTTCTGAGGTACTTGCTTTTTTCCCTTTCACTTCCCAACAACTGTCTGTCCCCTTCTACACTTATATCCAGAAAACAGCTCTGAGGCATCTAGAAATAACTTGGGCACAACTAAAATACTTCTGCAGCAGCTATGACAGTTTCATTCATTGCCCTTTTTTTTCCCCCCTTTTCTTTCTTTCAAGAGACTGTGGTCATCACACTTTAGTAGTGATTTCAGGTGGCTAGTAGTAAATTAAACAAATTAAAATTGACGTAAAATTAACCTTAGATACAGGTTTAAAATACATTTAAAGCCTTTTTGTAGAGGTCCTTTAGTACAGACAGATCTATTTATTTTTTTTTTTTGTAATGTTGTAGCATAGCTACCTGATTTTATAATCTCATTTGGTAAAATGAACAACAGTATTATGAGCACAATAAGCTCTCCATATGTCAACAGCAGAGGGAGGGGAAGAACGAGAGCAGGCAGATTTGAGGTCTGTCCTAGGTGGGATTTTTTTTGTGTCTTGATTTCCAGCATTTTCCAGGCCAGATTACTCTGATTATATGTAAACTTTAAGTAATTTAGTAATAAGTCATTTATAGAATAATATTAATTTTGAATCCAAGAATGAAATGGGGAAGTCATCTCAGTAACGACAGAGATGGATTATTGTTATTAACCTTAAAGGTCTGAACAGGCTTAAGCATGGTATATGAGAAAAAACATGAGATTTAAGAAGTTTTATAAGAGCAGTTAAGCAATCAGGATGTCAACAAAATATATGAATTGCCATTGGCAGAGGCAATCAAAGTAAGAATATAATGTTTTAGAGATGATACAAGAAAAATAAAGTCAATAATTACCACACTATGCTGAAGAAAGATGTGTATATCTAGACATTCTTTAACCAAATGGTTATATGAAATATGCACAGAAAAATTTTTTACTCAAAGCTTTATTTGGATTCTCATGCAGTTACAACGCTTTTGTTGTAGAATGAAACATGCTCCTTCCTTCTTAACCCTGTTTTCCATTTCAGCATGAAGATCTGCAGTACATGATTGAGAACATATGGGGCTGTCAGTCAGCTCTCAGTGCCTGCAGTGACCTCTATGATTTGGTTATGGTCAGATGGGATAAGCAGCATGAGTGGTCTCCATGGAACACTATTCTCCTCACTAAAGATGAGGCAGATGCACATCTTAAGCTGTGTAGCCTCGAGAAGGTAAAATTTGATGGACTTAATTTTTTACAATATTTATGTTCTGTTTTAATAGAGTCCTGTGACTAATGATGTTTAGCCAAACTTAATCCTTACACTCATCCATGTTTAAATTATCCCATTGTTACTATTTAAATTAGTGCATCTGTACTATTAAATGAAACAGCCACTAGTCCAGAGGGCAGCTGGCACGTGCATCTCAAGTCCACGCACCTGAACTCTGTCTTGCCCTCATTCTCCCTCCCGAAATGCAAAAAGCTAAGTGGCCTCATCCATGCTTCCTACCAAGAGCAGTGCCATACCTCTTCCCTCAGCTGAGGTCAGACAAGAGCTGGCCTGGATGAAAAACATACTAAAGACTGACCATAAATACTATGACAGTTGTGTACCTGTGCTATTGCACATGCTCTGGCCTCATTAGTTTCTGGCCTTAAAAATTTCTCGTCAAATAGCAGAATGGCTCTTTGTCTAGAACTTAACCATTTGTGATAATAAAATTTGTCTCAATTTACTTTCTTACATAGACTTCATTTGAGTACCCCGACAATGTAATCTTATAGTTTGCAATTAAGAAATTAAAACGTAATTGTTGTTCCAAATCTTAAAAGAAACTTAGGAATTTGTTAAAGAAGTCATTGAAAATGTGTATTTTTACACCACTCCCCCCACATTCCATATCTAAACATGGTAGTCTGGTAAATATCTCACGCCACTGGATATCATATGGTAGAATATTTAATTTCCTATGGCATGGGAGAATTGTATGAGCTGTGTTTGTCTTGCAATTAGTAATGGATTATTAAGCTTTTCACCTCTAGGGTATTGATTTATGTAAGTAGTGATCTGAGGTCATTGTTGTGTAGTGTCCTTTTGTTCAGCATGTTCTTAATTCAATTTCTGACACAATATGTGTGCATCACAAATGCAACTTCAGCTGTTGGGCATTGCACTTCATGTTGGAAGTCTTAAGGGTATGTGATAACTGACAGAGCAAATGAATTGCTCCCTTAATGAAAGGTCTGCTTTGGGGGCAAAATATACCAGTTAGGGAATTCTAAAGGTAAAAGAAATTCTACCATCTGTGATATTTTGTGTGTGTGTGTGTGTGTGTGTGTGTGCCCAACTTGTGTCTTCAAGCGAACACGTGTTTGTGAGCGTTACCTTTAAAGGGTAAAATCAATTTCAGGCTGTAAATTCCTTTGTTGACTCCACTGTCTCACTTTCAGTAAACAAGGCTGTTTAGGCAGTCTGGATCCAGCCATGTTTCTCTGCAGCCATCAATTTATGTTACTAACATTCTGGCAGGCAGAGATTTTGATTATGTGCTTACCTTAGGAGACAAGCAACAGGTAAAGTGTGCAAGCCTACCTGAAAGTTTCAGGGTATTTTCACTTAGTTCTTGCTACAAAAATAGACCAGCTATAGTGAGGCTCACGTTTCTTCACTGGTTAATAGCAAGGCTTTGTTTCAAAAAAAAAAAAAAAAAGTGAGATAAGGAAAATAAAACAAAGTCAGAATGTCAAAAGTTGAATCATTGCTTCTCATTCACTGAAACAAAAAAAAAGTCCTCTCAAGCACTTTCTTTAATAACAATTATTCATATTTGGATTCCTGTCAAGGACATTTACTATAGTCATCACCTTGCAAATGTTGATATTTAGGCATTGCCTTTTTTAATTTTCAAAGGCGAGTACAAATGTTCTTGCCTAAAAAGAAATAAATAAGTTTTATCTTGAATGGATAAAAAAATGCTAGAAGTTTTTCTGTTTTTAAAAGGTGACTAATATTTCACAAGAAGCTGTTAGCAATTTTCACTATTGGGCCATAAGGTAGCAGTATAGAACTACAGAATATTTCATTATGTATCATATACAAATAAATTATCTGGCTTGGTTTATTAAGGGAGAACTATTTATACTGTCTAAAATTGTAACAATGTAGATTGCTAGATATTTTAAATGTATTTAATGGGATTTGGATTTTTTTTTTCCTTTCAGGCTTATGAAGAGGCGTTTATTCGCAGAATAAATCATAAGCATATCCGGGCAAAATACTACTATGCTCAGATTCCAGCAATGGCATCATTTTTGCATAAGAGTGACAATCAGGCTAATGCAAATGAATTTTTAATAGCTACGCCTATTCCTACTGGTACAAAAACATAACTCTTAGGTGAAGTTAACTGAAGTTATGAAAGTTAACTGAATTATTGATTAAAACAATTTCCTTGGTTTTAAAGAAATGTACTTTTTCACCAATACTTTAATTGTATTACACAGATCAAAATAAATGTCTAAGAATAAAATAATTTAATCTTGACCAGTCAGTATAAATGCATTTCATGTTTTGTAATCTCATTATTTAAAAAGTAAAATGTTGTTGATAAGCTTTGCACATTCTAAATGTTTAGAGGAATGGCTGTCTTTCTGTGTATGCCTGTATGGCTTGGAACATTGTGTATGTAGTGTAATATTCCCGCTGGGGGAATGTACCTAATTCATTGTCACGTTTTAATTTGAAAAATAATGCTATAAACACTGTATTAAATCTATTTCTCTTGTCTTAACCATACAAGGCAGAAACCTCCTCAAACCCTAAATTCCTACAGAACAACAGAATTGATATGCCCTTCCAAATGTAGCTGCTTTGCCTTGCAGGCATTTGTGCAAAGGGATAACTACTTTTTATAGCTCATCTTGATGGTCATAGTAGAACTGCCAGTATGTAATTATTGTATCCAAGATCTTGAAATTATTGTAAATCAGACTTGTAATTTGAAATACACAATGCAGACTGTTTGCAACACGTTTATTTTTTGAGGAGCTTGTGTTATTTAAAGTAGAAGTCAATTCTCTCTCAATTATTTTGTTATGCTTATGTTTGATTATAGGCACAGAGAAAAATATGATATGGTGTATATTCAGTAAAGCCCTACAGATAGTTGCAAAGTTCTGCTTGAAACCTCTATTCTAGAAATGGTTTTGACCCAGGACAAAACCTTTTGCTCTGACAAATAAAACTGCGTAGGAAAAAGCAGTAGCGTTTACAAACTGAAATAAGCATATATCTGGCAGCAAACACCTGGAAACTGATTGCACTCCCTCAACAAAACATTCACTGCATAACCAATATCTGACTGATCAGTGAATTATAATATCAATGGAGTCTTTCCGTCAATGTTAGCATTAAATTCAGATTCTGGATTTTAGTTGAGTACTGAATTAATGGTAGAATTGCAGCACCTGAGCATTCTGGTTAACTTATGTGCTTTGCAGTATCTGAGCCTTGAGGCAGAAATGATTGCTAAGATTTAGCTTCTTCCAGATTGCTAAAAGGATTTTTGAAGAAAATTATGAGTTGAATGGCAAGAAGGAAAACATGAATCATGTAGATAGTAATCTATGTCTTTATAAATTTGTCGCCTATCTCTTTAAACGGCTTTTAAAAAATGTACTTTGCAACCCTAGAAGGATGATTTAAATAAACAGTAAGGAAATAATTCAATCAAATGTGAAAAGCCACTAGTCCATTGATTTCAATGTCATGTGGTATTGAAGATTTTTTGAATCATAGAATCATTTAGCTTGGAAAATGACTCTTAAGGTCATCAAGTCCAACTGTTAACCCAGAACTACCAAATCCCCTGCTAAACCATGTCCCTAAGTGCAACATCTACATGTCTTTTAAATACCTCCAGGGATGGTGACTCCACTATTTCCCTAGGAAGCCTGCTCCAATGATTCACAACCCTTTGGTGAAGAAATTTTTCCTAATATTTCATCTAAACCTCCCCTGGCGCAGCTTGAGGCCATTTCCTCTTGTTCTACTGCCTGTTACTTGGGAGAAGAGACCGACCCCCACCTGTATTCAGTTCATTATTCTCAAGTACTAGTGTTTTGGCTGCTAGAGAATTGCTCACACAATTTTTTTGGTTATGCATAAGTCTGGAATGTAGTTCCTGATAATGGCAGTGCTGCTTTAGTACCATGTCAGCTCCCTAACCTATTGCTCAAGGATCAAATTTGTTTGCAAAACAATAGCACTTATTCTTGTCGCCTATCTATAGATAGTTCTTTTGGCTTATCTTGCACTGTAAATTATCCTTGATGCAACAGTCATCCTTTTTAGCTTGACTTACAGTCCCAAATTTACCTTCATCCCACACAAATCTGGCATTCACGCTTCTTTTTATTCAAAATGCTTTACATCAGGAATGTAGAAGTCTGAAGTTGAGAGGATATTTTTATTTTTTTTAAAGAAAAGGATTCATAAGCAAAAAAAATTAAGCCTCTTTCATCTTGGTGTTTTCTGTCAAGTTATTTTTTTTGAGTCCCATATTTCAACTTTGACAGAATAAGAAATATGTAGGATATGCAGTAGGCATACAATTGTAAAAGGAAATGTGTAAATCCAGTGAAGTGGGTAAGAGCAGAATGTAAATACACAATATGTCAATGTTATAGCTTCTCTTAACAAAATTATTTTTAGTTAAGTGGAAATACATAGTCATGGAGGAATTTTTTTTCTTCATTGCAGTTTCATGATGATTTCACAGTAATCTGAGTTTCAGCATTTTGAATTTGTGTTGGATTTAAAAAAACCTTCATGTGTAAACAGTTCTAAACCTGGCCTCAGGATCACCTGCGGGTTTTCAAGGAAAAAGCCCTTTGAAAAATGCAACAGTAAACTGTGTGCTTTTGTGTGTACCGACAGACATCAATCAAAAGTGTTTTTAGGTTCCTGCTCATAGATAAAAACCCACTGTGATCTCATCTCATTTTAATCAAATGAAAGAAAGGAGCTTTTTTGAAAAATCTCTTTGTGATAGGTATATTTTTTTCTTATAGTTTGGCAAAAAGTCTTTATTTTAGGGCTGAAGAAAAAAAAGAAAGGAGAAAATATATGCAGATGCATTTATGAGCCAAATTTATGAGGGAGGCAAATTAAAATCCCACTCAATAGGTTCTTCTCATTCCTTTTTTTCAAAGCTTTCTTCACTTCAGTTGTTCCCAAACTGTGGTTTGTGGAGGAACATTAAAAAGAAAAATTCAGTTTGTCTTCAGTTAAGAGTTTGTTCAAAAGTAGTGTGGTAATCTGAGAGAAAACAGTCTGGGTTTGTTTCAAACAATTTTAAGACTGTTTCTCTAAGGCAGAACAGGGAGAGTGTACCCACCAACTGTGCTCCATCTCACTGGGGTGTGATCTGGTTACTGCATGCAAATACCATCCAAAAGATCCAGCTCAAACCAAGGGATAATCTGTTTTTTTGAGATACTACCAGCTGGAAAGAGACAGGGACAATATTCCTTTCTTTCCTAATTCTCTCCCTTGTATTAGCTTCTCTATTTTTTTCATTAACCTACTTTAAATCAGCCATTTTGGATGCAAGAAGCCAGGAATCTCTTCCCCGACTTAAGCTTTTCATTCAGGGTGTCAGCTTTTGAGTATGAACTATGTAAAAGATGTTGCAAATGCCAGCAGTGGATTTTTTGACATGGCGTAAATGCTTTAGCCTTACGAAAATGCTCTGTAATAATAGAGCTGAGCGCTAATCACATATTTTAAAAGTATGGAATTGTTCAAAAACTTAGTAATGAGTAATTTGCTTTTGTGGTGAGGTTCCTGTCAGGTTACAACATGTATTTTTACAACACTGTATATTTGTTGGTCTTGATTTCCACACATTCAGGTCAGATTGTTGAGGGTTCGTTCTGGTGTGAAAGTCCTGGCAGCGTTGGGCATGTGTATCGACTGTATTAGTGGTGGAGGAGACCCACTAGAACCTACCCTTTGCTGGTTCATGTTAGAAGAAGAGTAAAATCTGCTAGTTTCTTGCTCTGTTTCACAAAGCAAGGATCTCTGCCTTGTGCAAGTTAAAGAATGAATGAATCACAGTCAGAGAAGGCGTGCACTTAGGGGAATAGAAGCATCGCAGTAATAAGCTATTTCTCTAGGCTGGCACCTGAAATGCAAATCTAGCAGGTTTTTAAAAATTTAAAGTTTTGCTCGAAATTCTGTGATTCCTTTAGCATGCTGTGGCAACCACATTGTGCACTCTCGATTTACACAATGCTGACCTTCAGTTCATCTTCATTTCTTATATGAAGGTTAATTGTAAGCAGGCAGGAAGAATTGCAGTCCGTTGGCTTTGCGGGTAGGAGCTGCACAGGAAAACTGGCAAGAATATTCTGGAGAGTTATGTGAGAAACCAGATCTCTCACGTTCTGCCATGGAAAAGTCACCTACTTCCAGAATTACAAAGTATTTTGCTTGTGTTGACTGAGCTATTCCAACTCCCCTGAACTCTCCTTAGGGCATCCCAGTTCCACCCTGTCTCTGTGCTGGGGATTGCTGCCCCTGGACACCCCCTTAGACAGACAAACAGCAGCTTGTGAAAAGGGAGATGAAAGATTTCTCACATAGCTCTGAGGAGAAGAGGAAAAAGAGCAATTAAAGGGTTAACTTCAGCGTTGCGTAAAATGAAGAAAAGGAACCTGTAAATGACTGGGTTTTTTACTTCCCTCAAAATAATTATTTTTATCTCAGAAATCTGTTTTCAGATTGAAGTGACGAACAAACTCAATATTAGATACAGATAGATAGAGAGATAGATATTAGATATCGATAGAACAAACACTATTAGATAACAGCAGTGTAACAGTGTGCTGTGAGTTCAGGCAGATGGATTTAATTCATCAAGCTATGTGTGCTCAGATTCAGAAGTGCATGTCTTCTGACATCCTTTTAAGTCTTCTCTTACAATTGACATTGTGCTTCTTTATTTTTCCCTTGTCACAACTTGTTTTAACATAGCTGACTCTTTCTTTCCCCCCCCCCACCCCGTATTATCCCCAACATGTGACTGTGAAGCGGTGTCGGTGCCCTGCGCCCACCACGTGTGGAGTGACTGGTGCTGCCTGCTGCAGTCACAAGGTGCAGAAACAGCTCAGAGCTTGGCAGGAACAAAAAAGTATGCTGAAAGGAATTTGCTTCTCAGCAGGATGAAATTATCTACGGCTATTTTGATCCCGCATGAGACTTGTGAGATCCTGTAGTCATGTCAGGTTCTGAAGTGATTATAATTTGCTCCTGACTTTTGATATTTTTGATTTTTGGGACAGCGTCGCTCCGTGCCAAAGGCAGCTGAACAATTCCACGTTTCAGTGGATACACTCCAACAGTACTATTTTCTCACTCTCTTCCTGCTTGCTGGAATCCGCAATAGATAAATGTACTGCAGATTTCAAACCTGTCAACACCCAAATGTGTGACACCAGCTCTCAGTACATGTGAAAGAGCTAAGCTGAGGGACACGATAATATGCAGCAGGGGAAGACAGAAGTTCTGCAGCATACATTTTGTGCAGCACAAGAAAACTTTTCTGTAACTCCATTTTAAAATTGAGCAACTCTATTATCAGCCCGCAGTTATCGGGGAGTTAGAGAGCAGGAGCACAGGAGTTTGAACTCCGTGACTCTCCCTTGTAGCAGAATGTTAGAGCAATCTGGCTGTGCTTACACTGGGAGGGTTTTACGAGCTGCTTAAATCGCAAAACCGAAAGTTATTAAAAAGACATGTAACTTGTGACTTCAAACTAAGGAAGTCGGTTGTTTTGGAAACCCCCACCGCCGTTAGGGAGTGGAGTACGAGCCTGCAGCCCGGCTGCCTCCGGAGAGCTGCAGCTGAACCGGAAAGCGCAGCCGTGGGGACGCTGGGACTTCCCTCTGCAGCTGCCCAGTTCCCCGAGCAGTTGCCCGGAGTCATGACGCAGCTCCTCTCCGCTGCTCCAGCCCCGCTGCCCTGCGCCCTCGCCCTCCTGCTCCTCAGAACCGCGCTCTCCCTGCAACATGTGCCCCTGCTGCTTTGGTCAACCCAGAGGTAAGGAATCTGATCAAAGGGGCTCTCTCTGCTCTGTGTGTGTGTGTGTGTGTACGCAGAACATACTGTATGTCGCCGGTTGCGGTAAGTAAACTCTGGACACATACAACTACCCTCTAGGCAATCGAACAGATTAATTTTTCCATCTTTATTTATAACTTTGGTGTTCTAGGCTGGGCAGTAAGAACTAAATAAAGCCCACATGCTTCAAAACTGAAGTAGACATGCTTTATTCGCGCTGAGGCAACCTTGAACTCCAGTGTTAGAGCTGTTGGGACTTAAAGGCACGACATAAGGCAGTCCCACAAAAAGGACCTGGCCAAAACCTGTGTAGGCAACCTTAATCCTTGCATTTACTAACTCCTGAATCCTGATTTTTCACTTTAATGTTCTTTTAATGAAGGTTTTTTAAGAGAACACACTACTGTATGTGTAGACATCAGAAACAACTGCATCTTGGCGGATGCAAAGAGACATGTGAAATTCAGGGGTCTGCATGTACTTATGCAACAAAACTGTGAACCTGTCTTGAAAGAGCCAGATATAGACCTCTTTTTTTCCAACGAGGAATTTTACTCATGCAGACTTTAAGGATTTTATATAATTACTTGGTATTACCAGTAATGCAGCAGCTTGGGCACCGGCAGCTTCCGGCGGGGCACCGGATGTGTGAAGTTGTCAGAGGGCCCCGCACCACTTATTCCCACAGCTGTCTCTGTTGGCATGCACCTCGGGGCCCCAAAAATACACTCAGCTGATGGCAGAGATGTGTCTGAAAAGGCTCCTGGGGGGCTCGTGGGATCCCAGGACTGATCGGATGGGGTGAGGGCAAAGTCCGGCTCGGAGTGGGAAGGTGACAACAGATCTGCTGTTCTCTGTGTTTGCCCAAGGCGTGTTTTGGCCTGGGTAAATCACTTGACTCTCTCACTTCCTAATTTCTAAATCCTCCACACTCTTAACATGCTTTATCTAAATTGTAAACTCTCTGGTGGAGAGTTCACCTCGTACCCTCAGCAAACACAACGTGACACAGCTAGGTCAACAGGCCTGATCTTAGCTGGGTATTTATTCATTTCTCTAATACAAATAAACCATAATGCCAACAGTATTCAGAATTTGTCACAATCCAACTGACTGACTTCATGACCGTAAAACGCTTTCCTGTACCACACATAGCCTTAGTGCTCAGCATAACCCTCACTTTTGCTGCCAGGATGAGCAGAAGGGGCTGCAGTGACGGGGATTCCTGTTGGGTCCCTTTGCTGGTGTGACCCAGCTGTGTGTGCCTGGGAAGGGGGAGTTTTGCTTCTGAACTTCTTTGGTCATCAACTTTTGTCCAGTCTGGATTCATGGGATTTTATTCTTTTGTATCTTTATCGCTTTGTTAATTTCCAGAGTGTTACTTGTGATTTACTCTTCCATAAACTGGGAAAGGAACAAAACCAATGGCTTCTTGGGAGGTATTTATCCTTTCAGCTGGTTGCGCTGGATTCACTCTGCCTTTCATGAGGCCTTGAGCTGTCCTTCAACACGTTTGAGACACTGTGAATTATCTTGCTAGGATGAGAATTAGACTAAATTCTGCTATCATTTATCCTAGTGTAAGTCTGTTGTCTTTGGGCAAGTTTATTGCAATTTAAATCTGAGAGCTAAATCTTGTTAATATTTTTTCTTTTTTTTTTTTCTTTTTTTCAGTTGCTTCTTAATGTGGTTATTTTAAGACAGCAATAGGAGGATTCAGAATTTTTATGAACATCAGGAATTGGACTGATTCTGCTGTTCAGCAGATCTTTCTCCATGTATAGTGCCATATAGAGAAGCATGCTACATTTTCGGTTTTTCATACATGATACGGTAATGTTGAGGGCCACAGAAACCAGATATGTGGTGTTGGTTGTGTTTCTTTCATACATATCCTGGACATCCCATCCTTTTCCCAGCAGTAATTAATACCAGCTTTGACATATGTCTATTCATCTCTTAAGCATTTCCAGAAACAGAACCTCTGTTCCCCAGGGAGCTACAGGAATCTGCAATCTCTGATAAAATTTGAATAGGTAATTTTGACCTTTTTTTTTTTTTTTTTTACCTGAAAGAAATAAACAGCTATCTCAACATCAAGGCCTTTTTATATTCAAAATCCTTAATCTGTTCACTTTTGTACAACACAGGCATATGTATGAGTACTAAACCTCTGTATTTAAAAGCAAAGTAAATATTGGAAAGAGTTTTGTCTTAGGATAAAAGTGATCTTAAGAGTCTAAGCAAAGATCAGTGCTTCCTTTGTCCTGCTTCCTCGTTTACATAACAACAGACCTGTTGTCAATATAAGCAAAATCTTATCAGTTAATCCAAGGTGGTCATAACAGCAAACTTTCCAGCAAGATGTAATTAGCAACTTGCTGTACTGCAGATGGATCAGGTTTATACAAATCTAGAGCAAGAAAAATCAGGTGAGTGGACTGATTAAACCAGTTTTGTGCTTACAGAATAGAACATTTTCTGGACTAATTGTTCCTCCTACCATGACCTCTGCAGTTTTGAAAGGTGAAGTTCTTGTGGGACAGAAATTAGTTGTGGTGAAAGTCAATGAAGGAACAGGAAAGGAGATTTATGTTCTTTTATAAATAAAGAAACAGTAACAGTAACTTTTGGTTTGCTAACCCTTTACTGCAGGCTTCACATCTTGGTACTTTGCAGTGACACAGGGTCTGCAGCGTCTGATCTAAGGCTTATGGAGTCTAGAAACTACTATTAAGAGTTTTAGGAAGGTAACTAAAGTGCAGCAATTATCAATGGATTTCTACCCACTTTGTGAAAACTTGTCCCACCAGTTTAAAACTTCAGTGATGCATTGATTAACAGAAGCCAAGACCAACAGATTCATTCCATCACCCTCTCCTAGCTTATCTGTGAGTATATCATATCGGACAGTTGAAGGGTAATACATTTTACTCTTCTTTAGAACTAGCCAGTGTTTGTGAAGCCAGATATCAGAACAGCTGTATTAGAAAAATGAAACACTTTAAGGTCTCTCTTTTATGCATTATTTTCGTGCTATAATTATGCTATTGAAGATAATGTTAGATGTCAGATACAGATGAAACCTGCAGCTGACGAACACATGCAGTGTGCAAAGCATAAAGGAAGTGTGATATAAATCCTACGGGGAGATTAGTAAATCGAGTACCTCTTTCCTCTAGAAAGAAAAATGCAGAGAAAGAAAAATGCAGAGAATAATAAGAAAGAAAAATAAGAATTTTCTACCAAACACATTTTTCTCCACTGAACTCAGGAAAAATATGAAATGGGAATAGCTCAGTAGGTCACAGTGTCCTGCTTTTCACAAACTAATGCTAATACATCAGTGGACATTATCCAAATAACTTAGGCATGGAAAAATTAACCTTTGTTTTAAATTAGCCTTTAAACTAATGTCTCCTGGTCGCTTTTCAAAGCAGTAGAGATGGAGAGGTTTATCTTATGTATGATTCACAGAAGAACCTGATTTAGCCATTTTGAACCAATATTCAAAAGAATTCCTTTCCCTCCTAGCCTGAGGAAATAAATTCATTACAATTAGCTTTTGTGATTACCCCCTCACGAGTTTGTTTTAAGAATGATTTTTGCCTACAGTGATTGAAAATATGTTATTACTTTCCTTTATGCTATGCTTATATTGGGAAATGAATCTTGTTCTGACAAATCTCTTCAGGCTGGATGTGGCCTTGAGCAACCTGCTCTAGTGGAGGTGTCCCTGCCCATGGCAGGGGGGTTGGAACAAAATGATCTCTAAGGTCTCTTCCAACTCTAACCATTCTATGCGTCTATGATGCTAAATCCAGATTATAAGTGACTTTGAGAAGACATTAATGCCAAATTGCTGTATTTCTTAAAACTGAAAGAATTTGCTGAAAGATTTACTGAAAGAAGGTGGAAATAAAAAGGATACAGTGGAAAGAAACAGAAAATTGTTTTAGCTGCAACTTTATTGGATTTCTACAGAGATAATGAGTGTTAACATACTTGAGTAGCTTTTTGATTTTTTTTCCTATGATGATGAGTTTTCATTCTACTGCCGCTAGTAATAATGGTGACATGACCTTTGTGAGTAAAAGTGGTATTTGAAGGTACTTTCCAAATATTTTAATTAGCTTGTTTGCTTCTGCTGTGCAGGAGAAAATATTATTTCTTATACAGTAATCATAAGGTAACTGAAGAGAAAACTGACAAGAATCACTTGTAGGAAAGAGTGGAGAAGCCAGCTATGAAGCAAGCATGTAAGATCACAAGTCAGAGTGACAGAAGTCCTGTTGTCTTACTGTAGCCTTTCTGGGTGGTCCAGATACAAGAAATCTTGAAATCTTTGCTTCCATCAAAAATAAGTGTGTGCTCAAATCCCAGTTATACTAGAAAGAGCTCTGGTCAGAGAAAAATCCATCTGCTTGAACTTGTTCTCATGTCAGAGCAGTTAGGCACAAGAAAGAAGAAAAACACTTTCCTCTCTTTCTGTAGTGCATTTTCTGGCTATTGGAGGTAAGAGAGAGCAGTTGGGTTTTACATTTCCCTCTTTTCAGCCAGCAGGAAAGCGCATACAGTAGCAGAGATGCTCCTCATTATGAGCCCCCACGGCTGAGGACCCAGCACGCTTCTGCGGTGGGCAGGTTGAGCCTGATGTGCTTGGCATGCAGATGACTGCACAAGGCTGTGCATCTTTGGACACACAGTTTCATGTGAGCAATCAATAGCAGCAATCAATACGTGTGTCAGCCTTCTGCCTGCTTCATCCCACGCCATCCCTCGCTGACCCTCTGCTGCCTGCGTGAGGTGAAGAGTTCAAAGGGATGGACCAGTTCATCGCATTCAGTGGAGCGTACCTGCAGCTTAACCTCAATGCAGTGGCACTCACGTATCTCCATTTCACTCTGCAGTTCCCTGTAAACCAGCTAGGAAAACATACTGACAATTCCTGTCTAAACCACGGTGAGACTATTGTTGCACCCAGCTGACAGAGGCAGCCCATTCAGTGAGGGGTGCAGCTTTGCCTACTGCCGTGCATAGTGCTCAGCACACTATGCAAAAGAAGCAAAATATATGCATAAATAAATGTGTATATAATATGGTGAACATAAGGACTAGGCAAATGCTGCATTATAGTAGAATTATTAACTAGCTGATGTGGATTTATTTTTCCGACCATGATGCTGTAGTTACTGAAGCTGACTGCTTGGAAGCTAAAAAATCTCACAAAAGGTGCTTTTTAAGTTTAGATAGCTAACAAGAGCTGCTTGAAGGAACAGTGAATACCTTAGAAGCAAGTATGCTTTAAAACAGGATCATTAAATTTCTGAGGTTTCGAGTTCACAACAAAATGCTTTGCCATTGTGCTGCTGCAAATAACTTCATTTCGTTTCATGTGCTTTCTGTTATCTTTTATTCTTAATTGCAAGTCCCAAAAGCTGTCCAAATCTTCTTTTTTTCCCGAATATTACCATGAAAAAGATTTTAGTTAGTTTTTAAAATAAATATTCCATGGTATTTACTACGATTTTTTTTCACATGAGCTGTTTTTTAACATCTCTTAATCTTATCTGTCTTCTGTGCCTTCAATATCATTAGTATTTTGGTGTAGCCATGCAATGCACAAAGTCAGTATGAAAGTCAGTTCCTGAATAGTCATTCAGAATCTTTGGGAGTTTTTGTGTTTTCAAATATCTTATTATTAAAGATTATACTTAAATATTTGAGAATGTGAGGTTTGACTTTTCTGAAAAATAGAGGCATACTTGTTACAATTTCTAAAATGTTTCTAAAATATACCTTAATATGGATTTCCAAACACAAATTGCTAAAGAAAAGAAGATGCTGAGCAAAGCTAAGAAAATATCAAATGATAATTTCTACCAAATAGAAAAAAATTCTTTCCTGCACAGCTGGATTCACTTCTAAAGCTTGAAAAACAAGAGACAGAAGATCTACTAGAATTTAATTTTAATATCTGCAATATGTTGTCCTGAAAGAATCTTCCCTATGTACTGTTTGTTCTAACACTTTCCCAAACCCCAAACTTTGACAGGAGAGAGGTGTCTAGGACTGCTCTGCTTTAATCTCTGCCGTGGGTGCAGTGTGACACTTCGATTCACTCTCAGCAATCTTCACTGGTATTATTGGGAAGTCTTGAAGTGAAATATAGATTTTCCTTACCTGAGAAACAACGTTGAAACCCCCCTATGTGTTCATTACCACAGTTCTGCCTCCACCTTTAGAGACTGCAAAGACTGTTTTCATTCATAAAAGCTCGCTGTGCAAGGGTCATTTTCAAATTGCTTTTGGGTTCCAAAATTTAATAAGCTTCTCGACTTCACCAAATTGCAATCATATAATAGCTGATGCTACAGCACATAGCAATTATCTTTATTTTGTTCTTTGTAATTAGACATTTAGAGGGTCTGCAATACCTGATTTCTCAGGCCTAAGCAACCGATGTGTGTTCAGGGAAGATTGGAGATTCAGCTTCGAGCTGAATCTGGGATTTCTACAGAATGACAATATTACCTTAGTCAAGACATCTAGGACCAAAATTTTCATAATAAATTTCATCCCTGTTGACCCACATTGCACACTGTTAAAATCCCCATCAGGTGCTGAAAGAATAATGCCACCTCTTGTTTTGCCCACGAGTGGTTTTGGTAAAACTAAATCTGTAAGTTTATCCTCTGTCCAATCCTCACAATGACAGGTTGGCAAAAGAATCATGACTTTTCCTTTGTGTCTTGAACTGTTCTGTTCAGAAGAGCTCCTGCTTGAGACTTTTCTGAGCTGCTTCTGCCGAGTGGTTCCTTCATCACAAAATCCTTAGGAGAGAACACATTGTTTACAATAATACTGAAAACCCACTTATCAAAATGTTCATGAAAAAATACTGGTTTCTGACAACTTGTGGTCTAGCCTGAGTTCTCTCTGGCCACCAAGGATATCTGACAGGATTCCTTTTGGGAACTCTCTCTGAAGAGTTTCAACATATTCTTCTTCATTCCACTTAGTTACTATTTTTTGAAAGGTGCAACTGTGCTGTTGTACACAAACAAGAAATTAGAGAGAGACAGTTATCTTGATTGGACCAATTTCATTCCTGCTGTAACGCAGTTAACGTGATATGGGCATAAATGGGCAAATTCTTTTCCTCTTGAGTAGAATGAAAGTAAACTGAACTGTAAACCCGGTCTTGATCCAAGGATGATTATATCATTACCCGCTGCTGCAGATTTAAAGAAAGAAGTGGTGTCATCTTTGGCAGCAAATTTTACAGATAAATTTTTTTTCTTTGTAGATCACAATGGAATCCAGACACTGCTTTGCACGAAGGGCACATTGTTTCAGCACAGGAGCTGACCGAGCTATTGCAGCCTGCTTTTACCCAAAATTCCAGAAACCTCATCTTGTTCCTGCAAGATACAGTAAGTAACATTAACTCCTTTTCTCTCACCAACGCCGAGTGCAGCTCTCTACCTAAATGAGGTGCCGTGGTGCCTTCTCACCAATCTACTTTCTTTGTTTTTCAGCTTAGCGTAGATGATTTCACTTACCTCACTGAAGCCTACGGTAACAAGAATCCATTTCAAAATGTTCAGGCAAGCATTTCTTTCTTTTATTTCCTTATATACAGCATTTAATATTAAAAAACATATAAAAAAGGTGTAAACAAACTAATTGGGAAAATGAAAGTGAATTGCAGCAGTTTTCCTATTTATTTATTGAGATTATTTCAGTTTAAGCAACTGGGTTAAAGGAAACCAACTGAATTTGCAGAATTGTTTTGTAGCTGTTTTATTTATGAAGATCAGGTTTTCAGAATTCATGATAACTGACAAAATTGTTCCTAAAGCTGCTGCAAATTTGTATTGTAAAAAACAATATAAACTTCGAGACTGACACCCCAAAATTCTATTTTGAAGCCATAAGAAAAAAATAAGTTATAGGAATCAATTATGTATTCCTGATTTTCAGAACTGAACATCTATTTTATTTTCATAGAAATTGAAGCTCTCTTAACTCATGCAGGGAATTAACTTTTATATATGAATGTAGTTAATATACGACTAGATACTGGATTGCTTTTAATTTTCATGAAAAAAAGCCATGCTACTTGAATAATTTGAAGTTAACTCCAGGTGCAGAATCTAAGACAGAGTCCTCCTGAACTGGTCAGCAACTCCAACTTATCTTCTCACTCAGGAGGTTCACAGATTTTGTGCACGTTTTACTTGCATGACAGTTTACTGAACTGTAATTAGACAAAGGAAGCGTTGACACATGGAAGTCAAAAAGGCATTCCTGTAGGCAGGGCAGGATGAATGGAGCTGTTAGGAACGTCACTGGTATTGGAGCACGTGAGGAAGTGTAAACTCCCAAGCACCACACAGCGAGCTGTATGTGTAATTAAATACATAAATATTCACATATTACCTGTCTCTACATCTGTACTGTCTAAAAACCTCACATCTTCTTTGTGTCAATGAAACTATTGATCTTCATCTCTTTGCCATGTAACAGCCTTTTAACATTGATGCTGGAACAAAAACAACTATTCAGGGGAAGTACATGGGTTTTCTGAGGAGCGAATGGGAGTAATAATCATTTGTAGTGTAAGGATCAGCAGTTGTGCCCACAGGCAGATGTACTGGTACTTACCTGGTTTGCCTTATCTTCTCTGGGTTTAAAATCTGTTCAAGGCTGTGTCTGGAGCAAATTTTGTTGCTGCCTGACTGCAAAGCTGGTTTGATTTTAGAGGCTGTGTGAAATGAACACAGGACGCTGCAAGCTCCTAATGATGTGGTGGTCTTATTTAAGTAGGCCCTGCATGTTTAAAAGGAAAAGTATGAAAGTATTTAAAACTTTCTTCTTTTTGCCTTGTAAGCAGAACTACATCAGCACTGTAGATAGAGCTTATAGCCAAAGGCTAGAGATGAATCCAGAGATTGATGGGTTTAGAAATCAGGTGGTATACTGAGTGAACAGGGAACCCATTAACTAAGTCTTTGGTGCTCAAACCAGGACAATTTGGCACAGCAAAGATTAAACCCAGGTTTTCAACAAGCTGAATTAATGTCGGTAACTGTTTGCTTTCTGACCTTGCCACTGTTCCTTTTCTACCTTGGAGCTGTGAAACTTTTTGTGCTTACAGCTTCTTTAAAACTGGAAAGTTTCTTTTGACATATTGCTTACCTTAACTCCAGCACTTCCTAGATTGGTTCTGTTGGACTTGGCAATCTTAATACTTTTCTAGCATAGTTTTGTGGGGGTGAGGTGCTGTAACTTGAGCAAAGTAAAATGAGACATATAAACTAAATATTTCTTTTTCGCTTAGGTGCCCATATGGAGAATTTTGCCAGTATCTCTTGCACAGACTTGTAGCTTTTAGGGCCAGAAAGGATCTTTATAAACATTCTGTTCCATCTTGAATGTAACAGAGGCTACAAAAATTTGCTCAGTTGCTATTGCATCAATTGCACTCCACTTGAGCTACTTTGGGAAAGAAATTCATTCTTAATCATGCTATGAAAGACTCTCTCATAATATTTACAGAACACAGGACAAAGTGAAGGTCAGGTCTGAATTTTCTCCCTGGGGAAATTAGAATCTTTGATGTTGCATAATCACAAATTTTTATACATTCACACTCTACATTGCACAAATGATTCATTAAGTTATAATAGATGTCCCATGTCACTCAAGTAGCCTTCTTCTGAATTTCAGAAATGCAAATTTATTCACAAACCTAAACTGGAGATCTTATTTAGAATGTATACGTGCATGTAGCAGCATGTGTACCACAAGAAGGAAGTGTTATTTGTAAAAGAGTTATAGGCTTGTAAACCACAGGGACATTTGCAGATATTAGGTTTGTTCAGCTCCATTAGAGGCTGTTTTGAGCATTTGGGATCAACGGGTTTGTATGCAATAAAAGAATTCTATTTCCAGTTAACATGAAAGGAATCTTATGGTTAGATCATTTATCTTAAACATTAAAAGAACTTTTAAATTAACTAATAAAATACTAGATTAGCACTTGGGGAACTTCTTTGTCAAGTAGTCATCTACCCTAAAATCTATTTTTCTTTAATATTAGTTTTGACTTTCCCCAAAAAATGCTCCTTAGAACTGTAGTGCGTGGTAACACACTCCAATTAATGGCCAGTTGTGCAGCTGATTAATTATTGTAGATCATTGCCATATGTAGGTCTCTATCTCCATCATATCCTCACTCAGTGATCATAGACTGAGGAGTACTATTTAGTTACATGTGGTACAGAGGTCCTACTCTAATTTTGATTGTCTTTGTTCCCTTTCTCTTTACTGTTTTTAGTTTTATGATATTACTTTTGACAAGGGTCATGCAGAACTGCATAATAATCAAGATATAAGTTCATTATAGATTTATTTAGTAACATGATGATGCTTTGTTCTCTATCCTTTTTGAAAAAGCTCCTAATATTTGATTTTTCAATTCTGATCACTGTCACTGAAATGACGTTTTCAAAGCGCTGTCGTGCCTCTTAAGGTTTCCATTACTGAAGGGTAACACTCAGTTCTGCGCCTGTTATCTAGTATTGTGTACCTAAAATGTGTTGGTTTTTTTTTCTCACCCTGTGCTCTGCTAAAATCAATTTACATTGAATCTCATCAGTTATTTTGTTGCCCAAGAGGTTGTACCAGAAGTTGTTTCTGCAATTTGTCAGCCCTTGCCCTTACTACTTGAATAATTCAGTGTAATCAGCACATTTCATTGGCTGAGTATTTATGCCTTTTTACCAGCTAATTTATGAAGATATGGAACAGAACAGACCCTAGTGTAGGAACAGATACTCTTTTCTACCCCTTGCTTGCTATCTCTTTACCTACTCTTTACCTATCCTTTACTTACCTCCTTGTGAAGCCTGCCTCTCTCACGCTGAAGCTGCTTCATTTCTTTAGGAGTCTTTGCTTCAAGACTCTCCCAAGTGCCTTTTGTGGATCCAAGAACAGTGTCAGCTAGAGCTCCCTCGTGTACATGCCTCTTGACTCCTTCAGAGATTTTCAGCAGAACTGTGAGGTACAACTTCTTTCTGCAAGAGCCATGTCTGCTTTTTCCCAGTATATCCTTTCCTTGTTGTTATAGTCTATATTTTATTCTTTGGAATAGTTCCTCACCTACTTGGACTTCAGGTTTTCTTCTGTATGGTTCCTTGGATCTGTCTGTAACCCTTGAAAGAGAATCTGGTGTCATATTTGCCACCGTACAGTACAGTGGTATGGAGGTTTGTTCAACAATGCTTTCAACAATGTAGCTGCAACATATTTTATCATATAAAGTACATCAGTTTTCATTAAAATCAGAATATATAACATTATGTATACATTTGGTGAACACAGGTACAGTGAAAAATTCTGTAAGATTAACAGTAATTGGAGAGTTAAAATACAACAATTATTTTTTGCAGTTCTCACTGTGTGTAGAAACAGATGTGCTTCCAAATCTGTTTGAGTATATTTTTCTTTTTTATAGGTAATCCATTGGCCAATGCTGTAGAAAATAAATACAGTACAATAATATTTTAAATGACATATTCACAGGTAAAAGATGAAGATTTAAAAGATCTCTTTTACATGGCAGAGCCTGTCTACTTTGGGTGTTGGTTCTCAGATATTTTCAGAGCCAACACAGAGCTTTTTTCCCCCAGGTAATATTTTTATTATAGTACAGTCTATCAGTTTTGATGCCAAACATAAATTAGTTTGGAACAATGAATACACCTACATGATCCTTAATAGACAGATGCATGAGTCTTTAACAAAGATTTTTAAAATAGTTTTTAATGATAAACCTAAATTTAATCCATTCCAGCTTCAAATTGCTTAGGTCTGATATCAATCCAGTTAATGTAACACTGAAACCAGAACTGGGCAAGTATGTCCAAGCACAGGTCTATCACAGTGCAGCTACGTGGCTTCAGAATGGCTAAAATGTGGTCAATCATCCTGCACCTACCTTCAAAAAACCCTGATCAGTGATAGATGTAATCCAAGACTGAAGTTTCTTGTAACATTTCACTCAGGAGAAATGCTTCAGGGGACACTAAGGAAGGTAAATGTACTCATAATCAGAGTAAGCCGCCCATAGACAGGTTATAGTTTCTGGCATTTAATGTAGGAACCTCTGCTATCAGTCCAACAGCTCCATAGGAGGTTTTCTTCCCTTCTCTCCTTTTCCTTTTCCTTTTCCTTTTCCTTTTCCTTTTCCTTTTCCTTTTCCTTTTCCTTTTCCTTTTCCTTTTCCTTTTCCTTTTCCTTTTCCTTTTCCTTTTCCTTTTCCTTTTCCTTTTCCTTTTCCTTTTCCTTTTCCTTTTCCTTTTCCTTTTCCTTTTCCTTTTCCTTTTCCTTTTCCTTTTCCTTTTCCTTTTCCTTTTCCTTTTCCTTTTCCTTTTCCTTTTCCTTTTCCTTTTCCTTTTCCTTTTCCTTTTCCTTTTCCTTTTCCTTTTCCTTTTCCTTTTCCTTCTCCTTTTCCTTTTCCTTTTCCTTCTCCTTTTCCTTTTCCTTTTCCTTTTCCTTTTCCTTTTCCTTTTCCTTTTCCTTTTCCTTTTCCTTTTCCTTTTCCTTTTCCTTTTCCTTTTCCTTTTCCTTTTCCTTTTCCTTTTCCTTTTCCTTTTCCTTTTCCTTTTCCTTTTCCTTTTCCTTTTCCTTTTCCTTTTCCTTTTCCTTTTCCTTTTCCTTTTCCTTTTCCTTTTCCTTTTCCTTTTCCTTTTCCTTTTCCTTTTCCTTTTCCTTTTCCTTTTCCTTTTCCTTTTCCTTTTCCTTTTCCTTTTCCTTTTCCTTTTCCTTTTCCTTTTCCTTTTCCTTTTCCTTTTCCTTTTCCTTTTCCTTTTCCTTTTCCTTTTCCTTTTCCTTTTCCTTTTCCTTTTCCTTTTCCTTCTCCTTCTCCTTCTCCTTCTCCTTCTCCTTCTCCTTCTCCTTTTCCTTCTCCTTTTCCTTCTCCTTTTCCTTCTCCTTTTCCTTCTCCTTCTCCTTTCTCCTTTCTCCTTTCTCCTTTCTCCTTTCTCCTTTCTCCTTTCTTCTTCTCCTTCTCCTTCTCCTTTTTTTCCTTTTCATTTTCCTTTTCTTTTTTCCCTTTCCCTTTGCTAGCTACTGTGCAGTTACACCTCTTTTTTTAGTCCTTTAGCAGAATGCAAAATCAGGTGTTTCTCAGTAGTCCCCTTCATTCTCCACCCACTTTTGGACTTCTTGTATTTTGAACAGGCATGGTAGTCAAAATCCTATAATATATAAAGCAACATATGAGTATTGTAAAGACGTGTGCAGTGGCCAAATGTCAAGAAGGACAAACAAGAGGGATGGGATCAGAAGGCTGTTTGAAGCTAATGAGCGGATATCCAGCTGTGTCTGCCCTTCAGATGGATAACAGTTGAATACCAGTGGCTGGAAGCTGAGACAGATGGCAGTGCAGGATTGGTCAGGAACAGAGGCACAATTCAGATATTACTCAGTAATGATGCATTTTATGTCTTATTCTACAATAAATGAGTAATCTGCTTAATAGATATCCTTGGAAGAAGTGGCTGTTGCCATTCTGGCTGCTGCTCAGGGGCAAGGAACTAAAATATTGAAAATAAAATTGACTACTGCTCAAAATTTTAGCTCTAAATTCCTATATGCAAGCAAACCAAAATGAAAAAAACAGCTTTCCAGTACCTAAAGGGGGCCTGCAATAAAGCTAGAGAGTGACTTTTTACAAGTCCATGTAGTGATAGTACAAGCAGTAAAGGTTTTAAACTGAAACAGTAGATTTACATCAGATATATACCACTGTGAGCGTGGTGAGACACAGGGACAGGTTGCCCAGGCAAGTTGTGAATGCCCTGTTCCTGGAGGTGTTCAAGGCCAGGCTGGATGGGGCTTTGAGCAACATGGTTTAGTGGGAGGTGTCCCTGCCCGGGGATTGGAACTCTGTGATCTTTCAGGTCCATTCCAACCCGAACCATTCTGTGATTCTATGATTTTATGAAATGTATCATATTTTCCTTCCAGGCAGTGCTAAAAACACTACTCAAAGACCCATGAACCAGATCAGTGCTTTCTGCTCTATTTTAATTTCTGCAGTTATTTTTCTATCAGTCTGGCAAATCAGACAATACTGCATAATATTCCTTATGAGCATCTATAGAAATGTGAAAATAACTAGCCTTTGCCTAGGAACGAAAACATGTGAGCAATTAGAAAGAACCAGAGCAGGTCAGAAAAGTGGTAGGCAGTCAGAGAACAGACAAAAAGGAAAAAGAGTAGGAGGAGAAAAGTGTTAGCAACACTACAACACTTGCATCAGTTAAAGGGGGAGAGAGCGTCTATAACAACTTGAGTATCTGGATGTTGGATCAAGTGACAGACTCAATCTAGATTTAAATGTAGAAAATGGGAAAGCAAAGTTAACAAGTTGTAAACTAGGACTCAATGGAAAAATATCTTCAAATAACCATGTTAAATTTGGGGTACATTGATTTTGATCATTCTCAAGTCTCCATCTTGCATTTTTTTCACTGAATATTTCAAGTTAATTTTATTATCAGGAAAAGCCTTTGGAAAGGAAGTTTTCTGACTATGGAGGTTTTAAATTCATAGAGCGAGAATGGTTTTAAACAAATTTCACTTAAGTATTCACTTAATTTTCACTTAAATTTCAATTAAGTTTTCAATTAAGTTTCACCTAATTTTCAACAGTAATTCAGCTATGCGAATTACACATAAAGTGATAGATAACCTGATGCTTGATTATCTGAACCAGTTCAGCCTGAGCTTTATAATTTGTATTTTGAGTAGGAAGACAGAAAGTACATGACATGAAGTTTGTTTGTGTGTGCCTGGAGGCTCTGTAGATCCTGAAATACTTTTTTTTTTTTTAATTAGTAGTTACAAATTAGACACCTGTCTGCACTACGTGCTGTACCACCAGGATGTACTCAAAGGAAGGGGATTTATTATGCAAAGTGTGACTCTGTACTGAATAGAGCTGCTGGAAGTTGAGGTCTAACACTACATTCTTAGCTTGAGAACTTCTACATTATCTGTTTCTCCTCTTCTACCACACCTGGGGAAAGGACAGTAAGAATTTGATGTCCCTGAGTGCCTTAAGCTTGCCCCAAGAAGGTGCAGGAATAAGAGCAACACAAGCATGCCTTCCCTCCCCCTTTCCAGCAGCAGCCAGCATCAGGCTGGTGAGAACTCACGTAGTGTTTACCATGGCCGTTCCTCACCTTGAATACTAAATTAAGGATACGTTAAAAAAAAAGGTTTGTGTTTAATTATTAAGCAAGTAAATAAACTGTTCATAAATTTATTACAGGAAATTCTTCAGTCTTCTCCTTCATCTTTAGTTTTGCCAGCTGTTGACTGCAAAGCTACCAGGCACCTTCTGAGCTTTCTTCAGGAGTCAGGAGACTGGAAGTTAACAAACATAACTAATCTCGATGTCTCTCAGCTGGAAGTGAATACATCTAAACCAAACTTACTGGTGGTTCAGCTACAATCACTTGTCAGGTAGGAGCTCATCACAAACCAAACTGACACACGTGTTTGCATGATTTTTAAAGCTTTTGAAAATGTCACCTGTATTCAGGAAATTTAAAAACCAAAGTGGAATCTTACAGAGTTAGCAAAGTTATTTTTCTTGCAAGGATGAATTCAGTGTTTATTTTAAAGTCCCTAATGAGCTTACCAGGTGTAATAGTGGAATTATGTTGAGAAAGTCAGTCAGGCATTCCTGCTTTGTCTGCCTCATTATATGAGAACAAAGGGACAACTATTAAAACTAAATGGCAACACACTTTTAGCAGACAGGCTGAATTATTTTATGCAATACATGATTAACCTGCAGAATTAATTGCTAGAAGGCATTCCAGGGGTCAAAAAACTGGCAGGATAAATAAGCAAGCAAATAAACACACCGACAAACCTGAAGTTAGTATGATTAAAGAGACTGGGTTTCATCACTCTAGAAGGAAGAGGAGGACTCTAATTCTTCATGTTTCCAGGCCTATGACAACTGTGATCTAAGGGGTAGAAAGAGACTGTTCCTTCAGCTGAATGTATATTTAGAAAATATAAGGCATGGGTGCATCGAGTCCCTCTGCTCATCTTCTCCTGCCCTTTCTCCTTCCCAGCCTGTTACTTGGGCATTTGTACATGTCAGTATATGGTGCGTGTATCAATGGGTCCTAAGGAAGTGCAATTATAGCTGCCATGTCACTACACAAAAAAAGACGATACCCATTTTAAGGAGCTCATGTACAAATGTTAGACAAGGGGCCAACTCCAAATGAAAAGAAAGCCATGCAGAGATTGTAAAAATAAGATCAGTTTTCTGACTTCTCTGCAGCTAAGGAAGTTTGAGGGGTTTGAACAATCAGCTGAAGATTGTATTATTAATGGCTTTGCAGGAGAAAAAAGTCATAAGGAGGAGATGAGAGAATGACGGAGGGACTGATGCTGACAGCAATCCTTTTACTAGGCAGTATATTTGTACATTTCTGGTTCACGTTGTTCTTGCCTAGAAAAGATTTTTAATCATTTTTCTCCCCCTCTTTTTGTAGTGGTTTAAATGGGATTTCCCCCCTGGAAGCTATTGCTGAAAATGGTAAGCAATGTGACCAAGACACAACTAACATTTCGTCATTTAATCTGTGTTTTCACATGAGCAGATTGTATTCTCTAGCTCCTGGGTTTTGCTGTAATACTACTATTTAAAGGTTTTCCTTTCCCCCCATCTATAAGCAGTCAATTACCATAGTGTTGAAGTACTGAGTGTCTAATTCAAAATCTACTGAAATGGATACAGCTCTGTGACCTGAAATGTAATGATAATTCACCTCTGTTTCAGGCATGGGCCTTTGCTCATGCTCAGAGATCCTCCCACTTGGGAGGATGAACCCTGCATCTCCGTGCAGCCCGGGTGGTCTCCTTGAGTCTCACCTTGCACACCAGCAGCTGGAGGTGTCAGGCTCACCCAGCAGTTCAAAGGTCTTGGTCACAACAGAGAGTGTCTTAATGAACAGAAGATGTTCTTCTAATCTTTGTGAAACAATACTGATGCCCTTCACAGCCTTTGATTTTAGAGTCTTTTATTGGTTTTATGGGTATTAAAGACTACTTATTAAAGTTGAATCTCTCCATATAATACTATAACTAAAGTTTTCTTGACTAGCTTCTGGCTGAAAAAGAGGTGCCATACACCAAAGAGGCACTGAGAGGCATCTACTTTTTTGCAGGGCTTTTGCTTACTACTCTATATTAAAGATCAGGTTATAAAGTCTGCAGATCACTGTAGTAGTAGTTTCAGGGACATGTAGTGTTGTGTAGAGGGCTGATAATTATGCAGTGTTCTTAATGCCTGTGACTGTTTCTGCCCAGAGCTAGGGCTGTAAAATCAGAAGCAGATTTGAAAATCAGGGGAAAATACATCAGTGGTGTGTCCTTTCTCTTTGTTTTTGCACTACCTGAAACTGACTGTGATTTTTATACTCAAATAAGCAGCTGAATTTCCATCTCTGAACTGCAGAGGAGTTCTTTAGTTCTCTTTCTTGTCCCCAGAGCATATTAGGTAGAACAAGCCTTGGTTTAATGTTGGCCTTGGCTAAACATTAGTTTTTTATCTTTATGGGACATTTCTTTAATCAGCTGCAGAAACTCAAGAAAAAGCTTCCTAAACCCTGTGTCAGGCCACTTTGTTTTGGAACAGCAAAGTTAACAGGAGACCTGTGGATGATGGAGGAACAGGCTGTACCAACTTTCCTGTTAGTGTCAACTAGCTGTCATTGGGAAAAGGGTGTGTGGATCAGGGAAGAGGTGCCATTCTGTATGGCCAAGTGCAAATTCTGCTCTCAGTATTCTGCATCTCAGCTGCCCTCTAGACAAGAAGGAGTGTGGGCTGAATCCTCACCTTCTAGTTTATTTGTCAAAGAGGCCGCTCAATGCATAAAAACTGGAAATAACATCAGGAGGAAGTTTTAATTCAAATGAAAAATACTGAGCCACAGTTCCTTAAAATTATCCCACTGAAGGTCTGTGCAGCAGATGGGAGAGAGTCAGAAGAAAGTAATTCCAAGAGAAGCAGATAAGTGTCCCAAACAGTCTTCCAAGTCATGCAATCTGGGTTTCAGCAGGTCTAGGTACTGTTTGCAGCGCAGCCACAACCTTTTGCCAAATATTGCTGTCAGGAGACCCTTCAAATTCAAGGTTGCATGAGTTCTTGGTGTTTGTTACAGAGAGACTGCTGTTAGATCCTACCCGGGTAAGCAACAAAAAATACTATTTGTCACATACCTGCCACGTGACAAGAGAAATGTTAACCCTAAACATTGCTTGTAAATTTTTTTTGCAGTATCAACAGTAAACCCATAGAAAAGCACTGCAGACCTGTAGTAGGCTGCCTAGAAGTTCCTAAAGCCTCTTCTGTTTGTCACAACTTCTTTCATTTCTGCTGTAGAGGGTTTTAAAATCTGATGTAATAAAATGTCAGAGAAATCTCTCCTGCTGTTTTACTCACTGCAGACAGGAAGCTCTGTAAGACAGAACAAATGGGCTCAGATTCTGCCCAAGGGAAATGTGCTGTTCTGAGATATCTAGAAGCTGGTGTAAGCAGAAGTTTTTAGCATGTTGATAAAATGAGGCTCATTATGAAATTCAAAATGGAATTCGGAATCCAAATCTGCTCAAGTTTCAAGGGATTCATACTTACTGTTTTCTTTAGGCTTCTTTTCAGTATTTTTTCTTTCTTTCTTTTGCATGAGGTAGGGTTTGACATTATTACTTGGTTTTTGCCAGTTTTCCTAAACATTTCTCTGCTCAGGAGAATGCCAGAGTTTGTCGTGTCAGCCTCACCTGCTGGATCCAGCATATCTCAAAACCAAAGGCAAAGATTCTTCTGACTCCATCTACATGAGATGAGGCTCTTCAATTGCTATTGCATTGTCCTGCTTTCAGGATAGAGTTAATTATCTTCCTAGTATTTGTTGTGTTTTGGATTTATTGCGAGAATAATGTTGATAACACATATTATTTTAGTTGTTGCTAAGCAATGCTTATATTAAGTCAAGGACTTTTTCAGCTTCCCATAGAAGCTGAGAGGTAGCATAGACAGGACAGGCTGGCCAAAGGAATATTCGATAGCATAGGCATCATGCTCAGTATATAAATGGGGGATGCCTGGGGGGGCAGGAATCTGAGATCACTGCTTGGGATGTGCAATTGAGCACCGGGTGGTGAGCAATTGTATTACATCACTCATTTTGTATATTCTTTTATAATTACTGTTACTAGTACCTTCTCTTTCATTACTGTTCTATTAAACTGTCTTCATCTCTACCCATGAGGTTTCCTTTTCTTTCTGATTCTCCTCCCCTACCCTACTGGGAAGTGACTGAATGGCTGCGTGGTCCTGGTTGCCAGTTAGGTTTACACCACGACATACATGTATTCCTTTTTCCACTCTGATTCTCAGTGTATTCCTCTTCCCACTCTTTTTCTTCTCTCCCATTTCCCCCCCTCTCACTTTGCTTTTTTTCTGTTGTTCCTCTCTTGTTCATAGTTTATACTCTCGCTTTCTTTTCACTTTTCCCCTTCCAGAACATTTCTGCTCAGTTCGTTTCTTCCATTCCTTCCATCTGTGTGTAACATCACACAAAGAAACTAAGGTGGATTAGAAAATAATAATAGCACTAATCCTACACTCCCTGTTGAAATTCAAGGGATGTATTTTCAATGAGATAGAAAGGTTTAATCCTTCCACCAGGACACAGATGCTAATTGGAAGGTGGTGTTCTAGACAAACTTTACATTCATAGATCTATGCAGTGTTTCCTTCATCCATGCTTTCTACAATAAAAAGAAAACAAGAACAAACAGACAAAAAAACAAAAAACAAAAAACCCCAAAACTTCAGTAGAACCACTCTAAAATCACTCTAACATCAATATCACCATCTGGAGATGCCTCTTGTTGCACTAAAGAACAAGCCTGGGATGACCAATATTCCCATGTAGGCATGTAATTTGGGTGCTTTAAAATATGGTGGACAGTCTGGGCCCTTGTACTTGGAGAATTTGCAAATACTTCATAAGCAAGGTAGAGTTCTGATCACAAAGATCTGTATCTATTCTCATAATGGTGTTCACAGCAGCCTCTCTGAATGAAGGAGTTGCCTCTCAAATCTTCCCAAGGGCAGGAGTTATAGATGTTGCTGGTAACTATAGTTACATGTAGCTCCTTACTGAAATGAAATGCGAATAATGTGTTATTTCAGAAAGTGATTGGTTGCTTTAATGAAAGAAAAAAACCTAAGGCAATCTATGCGTTTTCCTATATATTATTTTATCTTCCACAAATTTTAGCTGAGGCTGCTGAGTATTTCCAGTGTATTGCACTCTGTGCATATAGAATACAAAATCAACATTATGTAATGCCTTGGACCTCCACACCTGATATAATTCCACTAGTGTATATAAGCAGTTGTTTTTCTGAGGAAGTCTGTTTCTTATAGTAGATCTTTTTTACAAATAATTTTTTAGAAGGAAAATTTACATAACTATGATTCTTGACTGATACGAGGAAATCAGTGTGGTTAAAACCCTGCAGAAAAAGCAATGCTTGCATTTTTACAAAAGCTAAATGTTTTACTTAGCTAGGAGACCATAATTACTGAAAATAGAAGAGGTTAAAAAGGATGATAAGAATATAAGCTCCACTTCCAGTACATGAAAATGAAATACAATTTCTGTAAAGTATAACCTCAAAATCTGAGAAACCTGTATGTCCAGGCTGTTAAATGTCCATTCACCGGAGTGGTACAGGGATGAGAAGTGGGAAGGTACTGAAACAGTAAATGTGAGTCTGCTTGATTATTTCTCTACCAGTCCTAACAACAACACTAATAATGGTTCTTGATTCATAGCTATTATGCTCCTTATCATAAGCAGATCTTAATATTTCTGCATACAGCTTGAAAATATTTATCAGTAGAAGTATTTGTCACAGCTGCCTGTGGTTTCAGAACTAAAGCGGAATCTTCTGTAGAGGCATCTTTGGACCTCTTTGAAAGGTCCTCACTTCTTTACTTGATTTTTCCTCCCTTCTTCAGAAATATTCCACCATATTTCTCCTTTGACCTCCACTGCTGTCAACAGCAAATTTTTCCATATTCTGTTGAGGTTGCAGAATAAGGCTTTAAATCCACAGGACAAAAATGGAATATTGCTGCCAATGTGATGCATATCATGCCCCAGACTAAGCACTACATTTCAGGTATTGTTTCTCAGTGATTGGTTCTGTATACTTTGTAATTCATACAATAATACTACTTCAGCTTTAATATTTATTTATTAACTGGTCACTTGACTAACAGTATATGCATCCTGCCTCCATCTCTTAGGTGATTTTTACTGCTCTTGCTTTGAATTACCTGCAGTTTAAACTTTCTGGTTTCTACGGTATTTACTTTTCAGTTTCAAAATCACTCCTTTCTCTGAACTGTTGGTTTGTATCATCTCATTGAAATTGTGCATTTTCAAGACACTGAATATGTCTTATCCCATTTGTACCTATTGATGTATAAATTGTATGAGCACCTAAATTCCTTAAATAAACTAAATAATCTTAAACATGTAGCTCATTACTTCTCCAACTACTGTAGGATTTTAGCTTTCTCAGCTTAGAGAGTTTGTTAAATTATACATGTTTCTATTTATAGACAAAATAATTGGAAGACTGACCATGGATCTGCAGGAACGAGGGATTCATTTTTCAGCAATTTATACTGCAGTGAGACCTTCAAGGGTGAGTAATCTTCAGTGCCTAGAACTGTCAGATTTTTGGCATCTAACAACTTAATGTTTACAGAGGAATGCTGTAGATAATTTTCAAGATTACACAAGCAGGCAATCTGTATTATATGAGGTTTTGACCAGAACTGATTGCATGAATTTTCATGTACGATAGCTATATCACATAACTATTGAAGTTTTATTGTTCTCAGAGACCATAAATTTGCCACTGTCTTTAGAACTTGTTATTGTTTTTAAGATCTATAAGTTTAGAATTTTTTTCCATTTAACTCTAATGTTTTTATAGTAAGTTTGATGTGGATTCTTCCTGAGCTTCCTAGTGTGGCTGGTCAGTAAAGACAGAATGTTGATAATTAGCGAAATGCTACTAATGTATTCATTTTTAAATTTACTGGTTTCATACTTTTAGTCCATACTTAGTATTCACAACAGGAAGGTGAAGTTTTTACCCTTGCTGACAGTCAGAACATCATTTATAGATTGCTTCATATTGTACCAGCTGTAAGTAACAATGCAGAATAGTTATTTATACAGTTATCTCTTTTGTATGACATACAGACTGTAATCAAGAAATACTCAAATTTTAATTTTAATGCAATAAAATGGAAGACAGTCATGCCTTGAGGAAAACAGAACACAGTCCCCACTAAGAAGAGAGGCATATGAGGGATGGGCTGTATCCTAAAAATCAGCAGCTTTGAAAGACACATACCTATCTGTTCCAGTGGTAACGTGTCTGAGCTCCTAATATGATGCTTAGTTTAATCTGAATTTTAATTCAAACTCAAGATAATGTCATTTGAGAATACAGAAGATATAATTACCTCTCTTTAGGCAACAGGAAAGCCATTAGTGGGATTGTCTAGATCTAGTGTGAGCACTGCTGACAGGATCTTCAGAAGCTGGAGGGTTTTCAAGAGGGAACACTATGAAAAATTCATAACTGTTCTTAACACGAGAACAAAACTTGGAAAACCTGTTTTAAATGGGTATGGAGTGAAGTCCCTTTAGCTTATCCAAAAGAAGAGTAAGAGGCAATTTTACTGTACTTCATAAATGTTCTTTAAACCAAAAAGTGGATGAGCCCCCAAAAGGTTTTCTGTGTTCGATCAGAAATAATCTGGGATTTTGCAGGAAGATAGAATATTGAGCTATCCAACAATACGATCAGAATAGTACCTTCAGACTCTAGAAAAAAGGCTAGTTCTACTGAGAAAAACAAGAACTGAGTTTTGAAGACCAGACTCAGAATACAAAGACAAAGCAGCATGAGGAAGGAAGCTCACATTGATATTTTCTGTGCTGTATGTTTTCGTGGTAAAGGAGAGGACATGAGTCCAGGACTTTTGATCTGCCTCTTTTGTAAATTTTTTTAACAAAGATCCAAAAAAAAAAGCAAAGTATTTAGTTATTGTAGCTCTTTACTCTTTGAAATTAAAGGGACTTGGGTGTTCTTAGCTGAAAATTGCATTTAGAACAACTAGAATGAAAAATATTTTTAATTAATGAAAGAATTGGTGTCAAGAGAAAGAATTTTTTGAGCAATTTTTAAAGTTTGTTGAATTTGAAATCTATTCATATTTCAAAAGGCTTTCTAAATTAAAGTGTCTTAGTTTGAGCAACTGGAGCACTTTTAAATAATTAAAGTAATGTATTTTAAGCTGTTCTGCATTTTTAAAAAATAAACAATTTAAACTTTTTTTAATTCTGTAAATTCAATGCCATATAAAGCCATTTGAAGTGTATTCCCCCCCTATAACTTCAAGTTATTTCAGTGCAATCAAGTTTATCAGTTTCTGTAACAAGCTAGAGAAAGCTAGGACAGCTCCTTCTGATCAGGTAAATTAATTTTATGCAATCAAGCTCCCAAAAACTGGGGCTATGAGATACTTGTCTCCCAGTAGCTCTACCTCTTTGGTGTTGGGCAGTTAGTGACTTCGTAACATCATCTTATTACATTTGTGTTCCCTCAAGCAGAGAAAAAGAAATGTGAGAAATGCATATATTGGAAAAAATTCCAGTCTGGTATTGGCTGCACAGAAAGTGAATTAATGAGACAGGAAACAAAACTCCCCCATGATGCCCATGAGTCTCTTTTCTGATTTGGTTAGAAAGAGCTGTTTAGTTTAGTCACAGTTCCCGTTGGGCTACCCTAGTTATCAGCTAATTACCCCAAGAACCAGGCTGGTTCTTGTGTTCCAGTTTCAGCATTTGAGGCTGGAAGACAAAATTAAGACCCTGAATCAGAAGCTGTTTGGTGACCTATATGAAATGGTTTCACAAACTAGTTGACGCTTCCTGTAGAGAATGTCACATCATGTCACAAAGGAGATGCCTTCTTCCAAGGCAACTGCCACATCTAGCCACTCTTTCTCTAAATTGCTTTGCCGTCAAGGTGTGGTTTAGTTGGGTGGACACTGAAAGAGTGATTTGTATCATCTAATTCTGAGCAAGGGAAGTGCAAATGTATACATCTGAAGTCACCTACCAGGATTCCTTTTATAGTCAAAGTCTTTTTAGGATATGATCCTTCTAACCTATTTTGTAGGTGACTGCTGCAAGATGAGGTGAAACTCATCCTTGACAATCTCCTTTGTCTCCAACAACCATAAAGGCAGTTCTCATGCTTAGGTCAGCTATCGACATACACATTTACTCACACACATGACATTTACTCAAACAACTCTCATTCCACATTTCTCATCTTCTTTTCCATTAAAAACCAGAAACTTATTGCAAGAAATGAGGAGTTTCCTGGCCTTTCTTCCCTTTGAAACTCTTTTCAACCCTTTGATTGATAGCTTACTTTTCTTCAGGAGAATCAAACCCCTCTGCAGTCCTTGTTCCACTCTTGCATCAGGAGTTCTCATGAATATATGAATTTTTGTGTTCTTGGGGACTATGATCAAAGTCATCCCTCTACTTGTGCTTGTTGCTGCTTAGTTTTTTGACTTGTGGTTGTAATGCATAATTTTACCCGTGGTGTTGTAATTGGAGAAGTTAAAAGGCTGCAATGTTTGAAAGGTAGATATGCTTTAAATCACACATCTCATCATGTTTCCCATCTTTCAAACCCTCGTGGTGTCCATGTCACATTTTTACCAGTTTGCTTCTGAAACTTCTACGAGACAGTTTTATAGTTGTTATCTCTTCCCAGTTAAATTGAATGCTGAGGAATCACATATTGCAAAAAGGAGATTTATGGCTACTTCCCAGCAGATACTCATTTTGCTGACTCCACTTTTTACACATGCATTGTGAAGTGCTGTTTAAACCTTCTCTAATGCCTCCACACTTTCAGAGAGCTTCAGCTACTGTGGACTTTTGACTACTTCATTCTGCAAGCAGCTATAGTTGGCATTTAAGTGTGTTGAGTCTTTGACCCTACTCCAAGCCAAGCAATATGAGTTATAGGAACTTCATTCAGCCATAGGTAACATGAGCATCTGCAATGAAAGTGGCTGCATTTGACTCTTAAAAAGTGTCTCTTGAAGGTATCCTCAGGTGCTATTGATGTGCGCCCCAGCTGAATATGAAAAGTTTGTGGTTGCATTTTCTTTCATTCTGCCTTCTACCTAATGCATTTTTAAAAATTATGCATTACATTTTGCAGTGCTGCATCTTCCACTTACATCCAACTCCTCTCTTTTTTGTTGATTATTTGGTTCACCACTTTGAGGAGACTAAAGTTTGCAACAGCCACCCCACTAACTTCACAGCTTCTGATTAATGGAATGCTTTTAACCATTTTGTATACTCAAACATTATATAATGGGAGCTTTCTCATTAACAAATGCTAGAAAAATACAGATAATGCCATTTACAGGAGTTGGGGCTGCAGGGTTGCTATCCTCATGCATCCTTGAATTGTCTTACTCACTTTTGTATTTTTCACATTTGAAGGAGCAATCATAGTTTGACATAGTATAATAGTATCAGAGAAGAAACTGCAGGAATTCCTTGTCCTTTAGTCCTCTCCTCTCTCTGCTTAAAGAATTCATTATAATAAAAAGTAAACTTTAACTTATAGATGAAGAATATGCACTTAATTATTTCCTAGCTAACTCAGGTGTTGGTTTTTTACTTAATAGAGGTAGAGTCTCTTTAAATAATTACAAAAGAACTGCTTAAGGCTGGTTGAAGCCAGTTAGTTGTCACTCTAGAATAAAAAAAATGAACAAACATTTAGCCAAATTAGCTTGGAAATTGAATGCTAAGGGTGTGAGAAATGCTTATCAGTAATTCTGGATGATTCATTCATGTGTTAGTGGGAAATTCAGGGAAATAACTGAAAAATAGTGTTTTACATTTAACCCTGGACTTTGCATGAGGACATTAAGATCTACCTACTTCTAACATTTTTGCAACTTTAGCTTTCATTTTATATTTACACTTATATCTATATATGCTTATTAACTTCACTGGGAAATGAGGGCAGTACAGAACAATTTTTTTTTTTATTTTCAGTTGCTAACTAACCTTTTAAGGCATAGATGAAGCCTATACAGGTGTTCCATATACAGCAAATCAGAAAGTTACATTTATTTTGCTTTTAAAACTAAGAACCAGGAAAACTGGGGTGGAGATGGTGGAGAAGGGTCCAGGGGAGGTGAATCCGGTCTTAGGGAAAAACCAGAAACTGGTAAAATGCAGGTATAAAAATTGCAATGAATACTCTTAAAAATACAGCCATATATTGGCAGAGGTCATAAACATAATAATTCAGAATAAAATTAAGGTATAAGGCTAAAATAGGATAGAATAAATGAAATGTGTAATTGTAAACATATATTGATATGGCATGTTGGTAGGCATGCTAAAAACCTTCTGGAAGAAGAATGCCACAGTCAAGAATTTATCAGAGTGACAGAATAGATCTGTAAGGGACTGCTCTTGTATCTTAAAAGAACTTTGGATTCAAGGAGACAAAGATTAATATGCTGGGAATTTTAGAGTCCTGTTTAAGAACAGAATCTTTGAAGACTGAGGTCC